TAAGTCCCTAAGAGCAGATATTGTTCTGTGCCTGCATTTGCTCTTAAGAAGCCGCCTTGCATTTCTAAGAGGAACTGGATGAGAAGATGGATGCAGTGCTGAAGCCTCTCTAGCCAACATGTCAGCCCGTTCATTTCCGTAAATGCCACAGTGGCCAGGGATCCACTGGAGGACTACCTCTCTTCCAGAACAAAGAAGAGAGTCAATGCGTTGTTTACACTTAAATTCGAGTTCAGAGGGATATAAATTATATTCAGAAATGGTCTGAATAGCAGCCTGAGAATCGACAAAGATAACAATGTTTTGTTCAGATGGTTCACCAATAGCTGTAATAGCCATAAGGATTGCAAACACTTCTCCATCAAAATTATCTGCCCAAGTGTCAAGAGGTTCTCTAAGGCTGAAATATTTGGAGTAAGCACCAGCTCCAGCTCTACCAGTTGAAAAAGTGGCGGATCCATCAGTAAAAACCTGCAGCCATTGCTCGTAAGGGTATCTCTCGTGTATAGTGGCCAGAGCGATAGGATACAACTCGGTCTGGTGGAAGTCCGATTTCCGAACAGGCAGTACCAAGTCTTTGGAGATTATGGGACTATGCAGTTTAGGAAAGGCAAAAATGTGGTGGATGTGGAAGAAAGGATTAGGATATTTCCTTCTGTTCATAAAGATGATTTTTTTTTTAAAAATCTTCTTTTAGTCCGTGGGCTGAATTAATTAATTGTTCAAGTTTGTCCTGATGCTTTAGGGGTATTTTTTTCTTTTAACAAAATTTTTCAAAATGCTTTAGTATTTTTAACTTTATAAAATTCTCCAAAAAATTATTGGTTATATTTTAATTAGAGATTTTATCTTGCACCCTTTTTCTGAAAACTTTTGTACTCTCAAGAATTATTTTTCGCAGCAAGCCAACCAATCACTATTAGCAAAATGTTACAATTGTTGCATTGATGCTGATTTTCTGGATTTCATGATAACTTTTATTTTGATATTTCCGAAACTGTTTCTCCTTTTACCCTAAAAAGCTGGCACAAACTAAGGAATGTATGAGAAACATGTTAAATGAGAAATTTTTTTATTATTTATATTTGTTTGTTAGAAGAAAGGAAAACAAAACTTTGTTTTTCTGTTCTGCACTGTAAAGGAACAGCTTTCAAGTTGGGCAACCAGATAGATAAACTATGAATTCTTAATATATTCTAATTTCTAATTGGAAAAAAAAGATAAAATTTAAAGAATTTTATCTAGTTTTTTTTTTTTTTTTTTTTTTCTGTAGAATATGCAACAAGAAATTTGACAAATTTTCCTTTATGAATACTGAATATCTCTTAAAATGATAGTGCTAATTCGAAGCAAACAACATTATTTAAACATTTGACTTATGATATTGGTTCAAAGAAAATTATTTCAATGAGTTTTATAAAGAGCACTGTTTGGATAAAATACAGTATGAAGCTCTATATTGAAATGTAAATAAATATAAAAATTTAATTGGTTTTTAATCACCTGGGATGTTTTTTTTTTTTTTTTTTTTTTTTTTTTTTGCTTAATAAAAATGTATTAAACAGTACTTATCCAAGGTTGTTTTGGGTCATTGCTATTTGGTACATTTTATGCAAAAACTATTTAACACTAATATTTTTTTATTCATTAAAAGCATTATTTTCTGAAAGCTTAATATATTATTTCCTCCACATCTATTCAAGATGATATATTAAAAAAATAATATTTAAATGAAATACTACACTATTATATTGACTAATACACTAATATTGACACTTTTCTTGTACCTATACTACACTTTAGCAGAGAGAAAAAACACGCTGACCTGGAAATTTTAAGATTTTTACTGGAAATATCCGGGAAATTTGAAACCTCATTTGAGTGGCCACCCTGGAAAAAGAAGGAATATGTTGTTTTTTTCCATGCATATATTCTTTTATGACAAAAAAATTTATTAGACAAAAAAATGTAATTTCTTTCTCTCTTTAAATTTTATGAATGTTACTTTTGAGCATAAAAATGCAGGGTTCCCACGATCTGGAAAAATTTAATGAATGGTAGCTAAGATTTTTCAAGACTACACAAAAATGCAATTATCTTAATTTATCTTTCTGCATTTTAAAAATGCAATTATCATAAATTTTTCTTTCATTCGTGAATTACAAAATTATTCCCAAGTTATTTTTTTCACCCATATATATTTCCTTTAAATTAGATTTGTATTGATAGCTTAAAACATCTAGATATTATCCCTCTGTTGCTACCACTTTAAGAAAATTTCGAGATTGTGGGAACCCTGAAATGTCAGTCTTTATTTGTTTTATATACATAAAAAGATTTTCATGTCTGGGTTAAGGTATAGTTTAAATTTTAATATCTATTTTTCAGTAGTTAATAACATATGATTTTATAACCTTTCCTACAGCTGATGGACCAGCATGACGAGTTTTCATGCTAAACAAAAGTTTATATATTCCATTTAATCATATTATAATAATGTTTCTTTTCCTTTTAGTTAAAGATATTTTTGATTATTTCCGTGCTGTGTTGGCTAAGCGAGAGATAAGTGAAAGGGCTTTTAAACTGTCAGAAGATGCTACAAATACAAACCCATCAAACTATACTGTTTGGTTAGTATAATTCACTAGTTTATTAGTTCTAAAAATATATGCTTGTTTTTCTTTTTCTTGAGTTCAAACTTCCCTTGTAACACTCAAAATGAGCAGACACTATTTTTTATCACCAATTGCAAATTAGAAAAATACTGTAAAGAAAAGTCTAACAATAGGGAAAGCTAGAAGAAAGTATCATAATTTGTACATGTTTTAAAAATTTAAATCATATTATTGTTTTATTATGTATTTATGACTTTTCCTTAACATATTCTTGAACTGACTTTATTAACGTATAAAATTAAATCTTAATTGCAATTAGTTCATTCGAACTTGACCTACAATCTCGTATATTGATGAGTTTTTTACGAGTCTCTAAATTTTTAACATTAATTTCAGGGTTATTCTTCTCAACCTAATTTTAAACAATTTATTTAAAAAATACTGAATATAAAAATATTTTTTGATAAGTGAACGAATATGTAATATGCAATCGATGTGTTTATCTGGTATGGCAAAAAAATATATAATATTCCACAAACTATTAATTTTGGTTAGTAGCCAGGCCATTAAATAAATTCTCCAGTTTCTATAAATTTCATGATCACTCCTCTATGAAAAACCTGAAATATGGGAAAATATTAGACTACTTAATTAGAAGCAACATATAAAATTAATTGTTTTTCCATCTCTACCCTGTTTTATGTGACACAATAAACTTCCTTTTTCTCTAATATTTAATATTAAACAAAATAAAACTATGAAACATTTTAATTTTAAAGCCTCTAGTACCAATAAAACATTTGTTGTGTGTGATAATAATCATGTAGTTAATCAAATTTTAAAATGAAACAAATATCTAATTTAATATTGCCTAAAAATGTTTATCTTTTTTTCAAAAGTACTTGATTTTAATGGAAATTCAATGTTCTTGAAAAATACTGATCTCAATTTGTATTGAATGATCATTTATTCATTGAGTCATATGACTATATTCATTTTTTAAAAAGATAAAGCTTTTTGTATTCTGTTTGATCTGGTAAAAATAAAATCATTTCAACCCTTAATTATGTAGATATTTAGACGCAAAAATAATAAAAGCAATTAAAAAGAATCTAATTTCTATGGTAGAAAAATTGTATTTCTTCATTTTTAACAAAAACCTGTTAAAATTTTTATTATATTCACAATTTTGCTCTTAATCTTATTATGAGTTATGGCTCTTAATCTCATTTTTTTTCCAGACCGTATGCAGGTTGCTACCATATCACAAAACTAGTTTTTTTTTCCTCTTTTTATTCTTTGAGAGAGATTATATGTATAAAAATAATGACATTAATTCATAAACCTTGTCTTCTGATCTGCTGTTTCTGGACTATTTTGCTGTTTCTGGACTATTTAAGCAGTAAGTTTCTGGGAAATTTTCCCTCAGTTCACTAAATTTCTGCTGACTAACATGAGATAAAAATATTAGCTATGCTCTTCCGTGTGAAGCATAATATCTTTAGACTTACTAGGCTTATAGGGTTAATTGGTATTTAAGACAGTTCGTACAAAACTCATTTGAAAGCATTTAAACTAAATATTAAAAAAAGCATTGGCAACCTATTTTTTACTTTCTAAAATAAAATGTTTTTCACAATTATCTCAAAACACCAATATTTAGAAAAGGTTTGGTACACATTGCCTTATTTGTTTACTAACTTCTGAAAGATCTTCTTGAAAAAAAATAATCTGTCATTGTAAGTCAAAGGGAAAAAAATTTTATTCATTTCTTTTAAGGCATTACCGAAGAGTTTTGTTGCAAGAATTGAAAAAAGATTTAACAGAAGAATTACATTATATCCAGTTAATTATAGAAGATAATCCAAAAAATTATCAAGTTTGGTAAGTGTTACTTCTCACTTTTTTGAGTTTTAAGGAATGTAATTATTCTATTCCTTAGTTATAATTTAATCAGTTTGAATTTCTTTTGTTTTCATGTATGAAGCTGGGGATAGTGCTACAAAAATATTTTTTGCTTTCTAGTTCAATTGTGTTATTGTTTTTAAAAAAATTATGAAATTTTAGATCTATTTATTAATTCATGTCATTTGAGCAATTCAATGGCTGTGAATAAAATTTACTCTCATCAAAACTATTGAGAATTCATTGATTTTGCTTTAAGATTATCCTTTGAATTGTATTAACACATTCAGTTTCAAGTAGGGTTCTCCTGTATTCAGGTTAACCTGGAATTCACAGGTAATTTTGAGAGTGGAATAAAAACAAAGAACAATGGAAATTTTATCCAAGAACTTGTAAAGTTTCAAAACTAATTTCAAAATTGATGGTAACAATAAGGAGCAAGTAAAGTTCAAAGTTAATAAGTCAATTAATTTTTATTATTTAAAAATTAAGCTTAATTAGCTTAGTAGTATAAATTAACTTTAGTTCTCTCTCTAATTGAAATTTAGTTAACTCAGATAACAGACTATATATCTGATGTGATTCTATTATTAAACTATGTTAATTTTGGGTTTTTAAGTTTTTCCTGCTTTTGTACAAAACATTGTTTTTTATCTAAAATTTATATACTTGTGTGTTACAAACATGTTGAACCTTTGTCAAACTGCCAAAGTTAGACCAAAGTCAATGGGGACACTGACATAAGCTAATTTGAGTTAAGATTCAGAAACCAAAATTTTATTTTGGTATTTTCTGGAAACTTATAAAATTAAAGTGTTACATAGATTTTTATTAAAACTGTTCAAACAGTGAAAAATACAGACTTGTGGAACACACACCACAAGCAAACCAAGATTAATAAAGATAGTTAAATAATTGGATTTAAATTTATGGATTCAAATGGGGGTTTTGAAAAGTTAAGAATGGGTCTTCTTTAAAATAATTTTTTTTGATTTTGCTCCCTTCTCATGATAATGATTATCTTTAAGTTCTTGATTTATAAATATCTATTTCCACAATTTTTAATTTAAACTGATGTTCTAAGTTTTTTTTTTCTTATCTTCTAGAATTGTTTTTAAAAAAATCCAAGATATATACACATTTTATAAAGCTGCCATTTTGTTAAGTTTTTGCATGAATTGTACTCTTTAACAATAAAAATGAAGTATTAATAATTTTTGCTTTTTTAAAAAAAGGCATCATCGACAAGTTTTAGTTGAATGGTTAGACGATTCTTCCAAGGAAAAAAAGTTCACTGAACGAATATTAAATGATGATCCTAAAAACTATCATGCCTGGCAACATAGGTAATTTTTTTTATGTAGAATCACTTTTCATGCTTGCTGAAAATTAATGCTTTTTACATTTAAATAATCACTATTTTTCTATATGATAATATTTTTTCTCTTTGCAATAATTCAAAACATGTCTTGGTCATTTTAGCAGGGGTGCCACTCCTCAGTCCCGAGGAGTGAATTCACTGTTGAAGAACGATTGGTAGACTAAATTCTATTCTCCAATTAATATTTATTTACAGTTTGCTTTTTAAATATTAATTGTTTAATTTGATTATAGTTATTTGATTTTTAAAATCAGAAAAGAAATATAAAGCTGAAAACCTTGTTTAATATTAGTTTTAAATTTTGCTAACCAAGCAAATATGCTAATACTTCAAAACACTTTAGTTCATGTTTAAGAAAAATGCTATATGTAGATTTGGTAAAAATAAAATATAAATGTGTTAACACATTTATATTTTATTTTTACCAAAATCAATTTTGCCATTTGTGAAAACATTCCGGTTTATAAAATTATCTGCTTCATAAAATCAAATGTTATCCCAATGAACGCGATTTTAATATGACAAGGGCACTGTTATGTGTGCCTTTCTTCAACTATTTATTTATGCACAGATTTTTTTTATTTATTATTATTTATTTATTTTTTATCATTTGAAGTTGTTGGACATTTTTTTAAATTAAATAAGTACAAAACTGTTAATTTGTCTTAAACTTTTTCATGATTATCTGTTATCAATGAATTTTTTTCTACTGTCTATTTTAATTTTATAGTAATTATTAACTTTGCTTTATTCATTTTTATTAATATTATAGTGATTATAATTTTTTTTTATTTACTTTGTTTCTGCTAGGCAATGGGTTATAAGAAAATTCTCTTTATGGGATGATGAATTAGAATTTGTTAACTATTTGCTTGAAAATGACATTCGAAATAATTCAGCTTGGAATCAACGCTATTTTGTGATTAGCAATTCAACTGATATGTCAGATGATATTTTGATTGGAGAAATAAAGTATGTTTTACTGTGACAAGGCTATTATCTTTTCTTTCTATCTATTGCTAATTACTTTTGTTTTCTATTATTATTATTTTTTATTTTATTTTTTTTTTGCTGAAATACTTTATTAATAGATATGAAATATTTTTGTAGATTATTAAAATTACCCGTAACATATATTAATAGTTCTGATTTATGCTAAATTCTATTAATTAAAACAAAAATGTTTCTCTTTACCTTATTCGTTGCACTTCTTTATTGATTAGACAAACCTGTGTTTACCAAGGTTTTATTTAGAATCTTTTTCCATTGTCCTCTTCCTCACCAGGTATTCTAGTTGTTTACTCTGAGTGCTTATTAAATCTTCCTCCTCATAAATGCAGTCATGTAATTTTGATATACAACTTTTTTAAAATTCAGCAACTATTAAAAAGATTTTGCTCAAATTTATATTTAACCAAACCTTTTTTAAAATAATGTAGAAAATTATATATTTTGCATTCAAAAATTTTTTGATTATTATTAAATAAAAAAATACTTATTTACTGAAAGTTTTTTTTTTTTATATAGAATTAGTTTTAGATAAACAAATTTTATAATTATGTGTACAAATTTTTCAATTTACTTTAAAATTTCAAAGATATGGTGAAAAATATGCAAAAAAAATAAAATTAACATTAAGGGATCCAAACTTTTATTCAAAGATGGTACGTTTTTGTGTTTGATTTTGTAACTTAAAATATTGTCTGCACTAATTAATTAGCATAGCTGAGGTCACTTCCTCAATGCATTAAGTCCGAGAACGTGAAGATCCAATCATTAGAGGTGGTCCTTTTTTTTTTGTGCACTGTACCTTCAGACTGATTTTCATGAAATACCTCTAGATAGTTTTGAAAATATTTTATTCTTAAGTAAACTGTTATCACAGGGATTTTTTCTTTTTTTAAATTACTAAGTGGATTTTTACAGCAACATTTTTTTAAGCTTTCAAATTATGTATAGTTAACTCATTAAATAATAGGAATTCTATTTATTCTTCATGCATTTTAACTGAAATAATTGTGCAGTACACACTTCAAAAGTTTGAGAAATAAAAAGTCTTTATGGAAAATTTTAAATGGAAAAAAGTTGGATGCATTGTTTAGTTTTCTTTTAAGTAATTTTAACAAACCATTACAATAGACACTGATCACAATTTTTTTTCCTTCCAGGTTTACTCTAAACAGCATTAAAAAAGATCCAAATAATGAAAGCCCATGGAATTATTTGCGTGGGTAAGTAATATTTTTATATGATTGTATCAAACTTCATAAATTTTATCAAAAATAAAAATGTGTTTTGAATTTTAAAAAAACTATAAAATGATTTGTTGCATTTTTATGTAACTCATAAATAAAATCTGCCAAATCAAAATGGCAAAAAAACCACATGTATATAAACGTCTCGTTAACAGGAGTTAGCAAAATTTCGGTGATTATAAGTATTTGATTTGCGGAAGACTGCAAACCAATGGTCTTGTCCGCGGAATAGTTACAAGCTTTGCTTCTAATTATTGGATCCCAAAGAATAAGAAAAACCTGAAATTCCGGTGTACACCCAGAATACATTGACACCCTGAATCATACAGTTTCTAATATGATCTTGTACACAGAATTCTGCAATATTTGCAGTTTGCCAATAATTACAAACTTTGCTTCTAATTATTGGATCCGAAAGAATGATAAGAAAAATCTGAAATTCTGGGGTACACCCAGAATACATTGACACCTTAAATCATACAGTTTCTAATATGGTTGTCAACCAGTCAAAAAATTAAAATGTGTTACATTTATAACTGCTGTACACTGTATAAAGTAAATTAAATGCCATTACAACGTAAATAATTAATCTGATTGCTATTTAGTTAAAAATATTTATTCTGATTAAACAAAATCATTATAAATTTTTTAATTGTTTAATATTTTATAGAATTCTCCAATCAAAAGGTTTGACAAAATTTCCCGAAGTGACTGAATTCACTGAAACTTTATATTCTTCTGGTTGCCGCTCACCCCACTTACTGGGATTTATGATTGACAGCATTGAAGAAACTTTACTAAATAGTTCCAATCATGATCTTTGCCAGCGAGCAGTTGAGGTAAGATTTATAAGTAGTAAATATTTAAATATGAAAGTTGAAAATTTTTTCAATTCTTTTTTTTTCTCAAAAATTTTAAAAATAGTGCTTATGTTATAAAAATATTTTTCTGGTATTTATTTTTCGCGTAATGGTAAAAAAAGAAAACTGCAGATTAAGAATTTTAAACTAAAACTTGTGCTTTATAATTTTTTTTTTTTTTTGGNTTTTTTTTTTTTTTTTTTTTTTTTTTGTAATAACTGGGAATTTTAAAATAAAAATTTGAATTATTAATAAAAGGGAAATGTTGTGTTGGTTCATTAATAGTTAAAATGAAAAGATTTTAAAATCAATTTAGTGAAACCAAAACGATAGGAAAACAAGCAAAATAATATGAAATTAAGCAAAAATAATAGGAAAATAAACAATTAAAGTTCTGCAGCATTTACAAGCTGTATTATAAGTCTACAGCATTATAAGGAAACTAAATGTTTCCAATTTTCATTGAATTGTCCCCCACAGATTTAAAATTTAACAAAAGAGAACAGGTAAATCATTTTCATTATAGATTTTAATTAATTTCTGATCATTTGCTTTTGATACCTATAAAAAGATTTTCTTGCAGAATGATCAGATCAATTTCTTTTTTTGCAGAATGAACAGATTATCAGACCAACAGTAACAATTTTGTTTTTGCTTTAAAATCTATGCAAAATATAACTTTGTTTTGTATCAAAATTTATAAAATATAACCATTTATTTATTTGTAACAAACTATTATTGATATATCATTAAATTTGTATTTCTGTTCATTTAGAATTCTTTTAAATTGGGCGTGTGCAAGGAAAATTTGAATTTTTTTCATTTGTAGAAAATTGTATTTAGCAACTTCAAGTCCAGTTTGAATATATTAAAAATTTTAAAAATTTCAAGCAATTTATTTTCTAAGTAGTTTTTGTACTTTTTAAAAGAAACTCAAAATGATATGAGGTTTTTTACAAATATCATTTTGTATCATATATCAATGCCAGTTTTATTTTTAATAAATCTTATATATTAGTACAGAATGAAATTTGTGGAAAACTTCTTAGAAAATTGCTTAAAACTTTTTAAAATATTCAAACTGGACTTTTTTTTATTAGTAACCAAATACAATTTTCTACAAAATTACGAAGAAAAAAATCCTGTGCATGCACAGTATAAAAGGATTACTTTAATTACTCATATCTTGCACAATTTAAAAAAATTTTCCTCAAATTTATTGCATTTAATATTATTGTGTTAAATATTTGTAATGTTACAGCAAAAAAACGTAAGACAAAAAAGTTAGTTTTTTATGCAAATGTCCATAAATATTTAAGCTGGGCTTACAAATTTTGTGCAATTATTGCGTATAGTAACCAAAATAATTACTACAAGTTACAAATTTGTTGCTACATTTTTTGGTATAGGGTGTTCAAAAACACTATTTTCCGTTTGTAATCTCTAAACATCATTGTAAATATAAGAAATCATATGACCTGGAGTTCACTTAAGTTATAAAATTATTCTTTAAGTATATCTTGTGAAATATGAAAAAATTTATTAGCATAAAAATGTTTTCATTAATATGCATTCAAAAAAAAGTTTTGGCTTGAAAAGATTTCCTTTGGGTATGTAAACAAAGTTTTGAGCTCTAAAGCTAACTATATTTTATTACCAATGTTGAACATCCAATTTATAACAGATTAGCTGTTATCAATGTTCAACTCCATTTCTGATTTTGAACCCAATCCAAAAGACAAGGTAACTCCTACATAGACTGTATAAAATTTGTTGTTCGAGTTGAAATAAAGTAAGATCTAAGATCTATCTTCGCAATCCCATTAAAATTTGCTATTTAAGAGTAGAAGAAGCTCTTATACAAGCACAAGAACAGTTGTTGTTTTTTTAATTTTATGAAGAAATAAATAAGATGCAGATTTTTTTTAAAAAATAATGAATTACAGATGATTAATTATAAATAAGATTTTGTTGAAATGCATTTCAGTAAGTTTTCTTTCCATTTCAATTTTTATAGCTATGCATATCTTTGATGAAAAAACATGATCCTATCAGAAAGCAATATTGGAAATTTATTGGCAAAAGTTTAGTTAATTTATATGGATTAGAAGAAAAAACAGAGCTGGACTCTGCAGGTGATGATTCAAATGCTGAATGTAGTGATACAGGTAATTATAGATTCTTACTTTAGATTCACTTATTATTATAAAAAGAGAAAAATTTATGGACATCTGACACTAAAGCTATAGTATTTGTGTCAATACCTTTTGATATTGCTTTAGCAGTATTTTTTTAATACATATATAAAACATGTTTTATAAATGCAATCAGCATTCTTTTTTTTTTTTGCAATATAGAAGTGAAAGAATAAAGAAAATTGTGTTTATTAGATGCTTTAAGCCTTGGTACTTCAGTGGCCTAACTTAACTTGATTATGTTATTTGTAATAAATATTTTAAACCACAACTAAAACTCTACTTTTGTTCATTTGTGTAAAAATTTTGAAATATTTTTGTGTTCTTTACTATATGGTGTGCATTAATTTTTACATTTTTTAATTATAGATTGATTGATGGATATTTTATTTTAATGCTGTAATGCAGCATGAAGAACAACTTGTTCGACAAGATGAAAAAAACATTAACTATGTCATAAAAAAATAAACAGAAATGTTTGTTTATGAAATTTTTATTATTCTTTTTTTATTGTATTGAAATAAAATAAAAATTTTGTAATCATAAATTTTTATTATACTTGATATGATTTTATATTTACTTTGCTTTGTAAAACTTTCCTACATAAAACATAATTTGTCTTACAATTTTTGCTTTTTACAAAAGAGATAAATAATTTTGTTCTTCATATCACCTTGATAAAAATGTACTGAAATTATTAATTTTTTTATTAAAAAATTTAATTTTTGTGAATTTAGGTTTTAATAGAAACTAAGCATAGAAAGACGGGGAAGTGATAGAATTTAAAAAAATCAGTGTTTATAACATATTCATTTTATTTTTTAATGCCAGCAAAAAGAAAAGGATACTAGCATTTGAAAAAAGAAATATTGATAGAGTGAAAATAGTATTGTGGTTAATGATTGTAAAATTAAAACATTTTGTTGGGGTTTGCTTCACTTCAGAATATCATTATACTGAATAGAGATTAATATTAGATTTTATGCAATTTAATTGGGACCATAAAATATTGTTACAGTTGAGAAAATTGTTGTAGTAAGAATTTACAATATATATAAAGATAAAATAACATATAGTTTGAAAACTTATGTAAATGTCAGGGTGCGTAGCCAAATCTTTCAACAAAAAATAAGTACTTTTTAAGCACTCAAAAAATATTTTTAAAAGACTTAACATTATAATAATAAAATAACTAGTTTCTGACAAAAAAAACTCTTCTTGATTATGATAGCTATTATAAAATGATCAAGAGTTTTTTCGGTTTGATATCAGAGGGTGGAAAATGAGGTCTGAAATGGAGAATATCTTTCAAAATGCAGCAAAGTTGCACATGAAGACTCAAAGTATTTCATCAAACATGTAAAATGATTGGCGCTTTCATACGCTACTGTCCGACGGTAAATTGAAATGGATTGTGGTTGAATGAATTGTGAAAATGTTGAATAGAGCAATGTGAAAAGCATGCTTTTGCATAACACATGGCGAAAATAGACATAGTAAAGAAAAAAATTAAGCACCTTTAAGGGCTTTTAAATAATGAAAATTGAAAATAAGCACTTTTTAAATAAACTATGCACCATGTATGTTATTATCAAACCCTGTTGATAAATAAAGTAAATAAAAATGACTTTATGTGAGGTAACTTCAGTAAAGAACACTAATTTTTATTTACGTTATGTACAACAAAAAAATTGTTGACCCTAGTCAGGGCAAGCATGCTTTAATTTAATACAAACAAAGATGCATGATGTTTCATGCATGCAATTGCATTCTCTAGACAGCATGATTAATATGTAACAAATGTACAATATTTTTAGTTATCATTCAACTTAATTCTTTTTCCTATCAAAAGGATCAGACCAAACTTTCATACCTAAAATGAAAACAAACAGTTTTTAAGTTGAAAATTTGTTGGAACATAAAATCATACAATAAATACAAGATTCATATTTACCTCCAGGTTGAATTGTTTCTTGATTAACACCAGCTCTGGTAATTTTTTGTATTTTTTCTAAAAATGATTAAAAAATTAATATCTTAAAATAAATTCTTAATCAACGAAGTAGAACTGATAATGATTATAAAGTAAAATTTTAAATATATTTTTTTAAGCAATTTCTATGCCATTTCAATGTGAAGTCGTTGGTAATGTTATTATCGTATTTTGATAGCAGTGCAGGGCTTTTTTATTTGTCAGTAATTAACTGCTAATATATATGTCAGTGTATTTATTTAAAACAATTTCTGCACTTATAAGTTTTTGTTCTTTTTTTTTCCATTTTTAGGCAAAATTATAAATTTAGTTTTCTTCGAAGTTCTGACAATGTAATTTTCTTAGCTCCCTCAATGAGTAAAAATGTAATAACAAAAATAAAATAGACACCACAATTTGTGTTAAAAAGATATATCACCATTGCGATTTACTATTAATATTTATGTGATTTACAACCTGTGCTTTACGTTTTTCTGATCGTATATTTTTAGATTTATATTCACACAATTTAAATGTTGAAACCTTATTTTAAGTCAATATTATTATAACTGTGCAATAAATGTGCATAATGCAATTGCTGAATTGGATAACTTTTACCCTTAACTATTGTTCTTGAATATATTTTTGTTACATGGTGCAACAAGATAGACCAACTTACCCTAGCTTCGGAGTTAATTGTTCTGGTGCTTTATTTTTTATTTTATCCAACAGAACATTTATAAAAAAAATCATAAATGATAAGAAGCATGCAATTTGTTGTAGAGAAAAATCAAATTATATGGATAATTTTTAATGAGATAAATAAAAATTGAAAAGTGGACCAACTAAACCCATTTTTTCCTACAGTTTTGTTTCCTATTCTTTTTTGCTATACCTTTACACTAACCAACTTAGCATAGGCTTGATAGCTATTTTGAATATATTTACTCAATATGACAGAGAAATACTCACGATATTCATCAATATGTTGATACGGATATATAGCAACAGCATACACAGCTACTCCTATCAATCCAAAGAGACCCCCATAAAATGAGACTGCTCGTAATCCTTTTAATTTATGAGGTCCACCCATTTGAAGCTCAATGAAATTTTTGATTTAGAGATAATCAATGCTGAAAAGAAAGAGTATATATTCTACTTAATAATTATTTCACTTCAATCAATCTAATATATATTTAATTTTACAAATTAATTTTTTCTAACTAAAAAGTAAGTAGTGGCAAAACTTATTATCATTTTAAATTGAAAGCATTACACCGCTAAATTGGAAAGTGCTCTTGGTAGCACAATCAAGGCAAACACAGACCAATTTATATTTACAATATAACTATTTATGCCTTTAAGTCCAAAGCTTAATGAAAATTTGAAGTGTGGTTTATTTTTACTTCATTACATAGACATTTAAACATAATTTGATATTTAACTGACTAATGTTACTTTTTTGCTAATTTTGTTTTTTGACAAATTATTAATATGCTAAAAAATGGCAATTTAACTAATGAGATTCATTGGTTTGTTTTTGACATGTACCTGCAGATGAACATTAGTAATTATCAAAAGTTTTCTAGCAGAACAGTTAATATATATCCGCATTTCAAAACCTGGAACTTCATTTTTAAGCGCTTTTTTATACATTTCGCTTAATGTATTGATTTTCTCCTAAAACACCATTTTATTGTGTATCTAGTCAACCCTCATAACTCCTCCAGACTAAATTTCTGGAGCTGTTTGCTGCTATAGTAACAGTAACAAGCGAGAGCACATTTCTAATCTGGGTGCAATGGAGGAATGAAGGTGACGCTTGGTTTTCTCACACTGACCTATGCAAAGATCAAGACAATACTATTCACCCCACACCCCAATTCGAAGTGACTTTTCCTTGTAACCATGGTACCTGCCACGATGAGAGATTGATGTCCAGAGGAGTTCTCCTGAAAGCCACATTATACAGTGTAAAGAGAGCCACATGTATGAAACTTTACCCACAATTGGATTATTGTGGCTATTGAGTCCTAACAAAGAAAATTGACTGAGACTACCTGGTTTATAACAGGCTATATTATTCAAGAATAACCAACCCTAGTTGTTCTTGAATCATTTCAAATTGAAAACATTACATCGCTGAATCGGAAGGTTACATCACTAATTGTATCAAATTCAATGGAAAAAGTCAATTTTAAGCACTATTTTACAACATTTTATGAATACTATTTCCCCCTTTTTTGTTTTTGGATTTTAATTGACTCGTATTTAATTTTATTTCCTGTGCATTTTTTGACAGTTTAATGTTACAATTACCAATGCAAATGAATTTCATGATTGAGAAAAAATAAAGACATATGCAAACTGGGGGATTTCTGTGTTGGTACCTGAAAGGAAAATAAAACTAAAATACCAAGACACTACAGACAATTTAAACTTGCAAAAAAAAAATTTTTTTTTTAATATAGATGTTTGCTTAGTGTTTCTACAAGTTATATTCTTTGATTTGGTTCCCTTTTGGGATATTTATATTAAATTTCTAACTAGCCTTTGCCCGCAAGTCAGTAAAACTTCACGATTATTTGGTGCAAACATCAATATATGGAAATCCTCCTTAGCTATTTTTATAATTTTGTCAATATTTTCAAATATTACATAATCAAAACGAGTAAAAGGGAAGATTTCAATATCCATATATATCCCAAAATAATCAAGTTTTTTGCCACATGAAAACCTCAATATATTTTTCTTAAAAATTTTCACAAGTTAACACCCTTTGGTGCCTTGGCAAATGTAGTTGATGTGAATAGATACTGATAGGATAATATCCCTAAGTAAAAAGGTAACTCACAAATTACAAAAACCATATAAAAAATTTATGTCTAAAGTTCAATAGGTAGAAGTAGCGAAACTAATGTATAGTCAGTACTTTTCCGTAGTCTGAGTGTAAATTTCTACTTTTCTGAAAAAAATAGTGTGATACAAAAAAGCATTAATTTGTAGCAATTTCTTGTAACTATTTTTAACACAGTTGATTTTTCAAATGCGATTAGTACAAATTTTTCTAGTCTGTCACTGGACGTAAGGGCTGACAACTTACTATGCTTTTTGAGAAAATGTCTTAGTAGTAGGAAATGTTTAAATTAAAGATTATATTTTTAATAAAAAATTTATTCACACCACATTTAAATAATTTAAAAATTTCATAAGGGACTCAACTTTGTTGCAGCTCTCTCATGGTGAGGCCTTTAAAATGTTGACAAAATTATCAAATATTATGAAAATTTTAGTTTAGTTCTTACCTTTCTATAAAATATTCTGCAGTGAGAGTAGTAGTTTGCAGACTTGTGGATGCAATAAGAATACCCCTGTGGTCGAGTATTAATACTAATGTTCACTAGCCATTATGACTAAAATAGCTAATATATCATCCCTTTAATCACACTTCAAATGCGACTGTACACTCATGAGAGCCCATTTGCCTTCCAATGAGGTGAACCAGGTTCGAATCCTAACGATGGCTGGTCAATACGAATTACACAACCGGCTTGCACCGATCACAGTGCTGACGTAAAGAATCCTCAGTGGTGAACGGATCATGGGTTGGAGTCCCCTTGCTGTCGAGCTAAGCATGGGAGGTTTTCCCCTCCATGTAACATAAATACGGATTAGTTCCACCAAAAAGTCCTCCACAAAGGCAAATTTCTACTAATACTTGATCCAGGAGTTCCCTTGTCTTCTGAATTAGGTTCAAAATTACAAAGCTACGGAGTTGGACATTAGTAGTCGTAAACCCAAAAAAATTGGGTCAGCTGTTAAACAGCGGTTATAAAATGAAATATACACTCAGGAGATGTTATTTCAATTGTGGAAGGTAAAATATTTTCTCTGTAATTTTTGATGTACTTATTTATTTTGAGGAAACAAAAGAGCATTAGACACTTTACAAAATTACAAACATTTGATAATTTCCTACTATTTCTTAAACTAAATATTTACTCCGGAAAACTGCACATAATAAGACGTTATAATTAGATTCAATGTTAGAGAAAAAAGTTACCTCTTCTTTTTTCTCAGTCGAAAAATATTTGTTTAAAAAAACATATGTATTTTCAAGATAAATAATTATCAAAGAGTAAGATAATTATAAATAAGTCTTAGATATCCAAGAGAAATTTTAAATTATTTACAAATATTTTGATTAAAGTTTCTAATCGTCTATTTTTGCTCAGTTTCAGCGTGAAATATTGCTTATAAGCGCAAAACCTCAACAAAATAATAAGTTTTATTACAGTTTTGTGATTGGCTACTGCGTGTGCAAGCCGTGCTTGATATGCTAGTTTGAACATGCATAGTGAATTCATAAACATCATTTTATTTTTATTGAGTTGAGTTGAATTTCCTAAACTGTTTTTCATAAATATTGCTCAAAATTTTTTAATCACTAAAATATCTGTCGCAGTCGCATTAAGTTCTATTTTTATTTTTAAAAATAATATTTTCAACGAAATAGGCGTTTAGTTTACTAAATAGTACTCTATTTACGAAATCTTGAATCACACCCTCTCATGTATGTGTTTTTTCTTTACTCTTTAATAAAACTCGTTAATATATATTTGTTTTGTGTTTATCTTAAATCACGGAAATACTCTCATTCGTAATTTCATTTTATGACGTATTTTTCTATCAAGTTATTTCTTGAATTATATTGTAAGTCTGATTAATTTCGTATTTAGATAAAGTTATAAAATAATATTTGTGGTTTAGGTTGCAATAATACATACATGAATAGAAATATGTTTCATTCAGTTATTTCAGAAAGACAATTTTTCAATTTATCCGGTATTGATTAAATCAATAAAACTTTTCATACAAGCAATTTTTGGCGATGATTTACTATATTAGTTTGTATAGAATAGAATAGAATAGTATTCGAAACTTCATAAGTTGTCAAACAATTTTTCAAACAATTTATAATAAGTTGTCAAACAATTTTTTCACTATATTTTTTTTTAAATGCTGGAAATTTTGACCCACAGCAATTCATATAATGCAATTTTGCATCATTTTATGCAATTCAATAAGAATTTTCCTAGAAATACCTTATTATGTATGCCGTTACTTAAATTAAAAAATATGAATAACAATCACATTTTTTTAATGCTTATTTACTAGCTTCTTTTTTTCCCAAAATAGTTCAAGCATGTTTGCTTTGACCTTGATATGATAATTGAATAAAGAATTGTTGACAAGATTCATCTATTCTAAAGTTTCATTAAACAGGGATATTTCCGAATCATGATCTGTCGTGCCAACTTCAATCGCTAAGGTGCCAAATAGATTTTAAACTTACAAATTTTTATTTAAAAAAAACATATAAATGTTTGCCGAAGGGTGACTACGAGTTATACCTTTCGAGTTGATCCCCTTCTGTGATCTCTTTTTTTTTTTTTAGTTACTCGCGGGTCGATGCCCTGAAGTTGCTAAGACTTGCTGATTATTCTGCCGCAGATCAGGATACAGAAATCTCCCCCATTAAACAGCGATTATCCATATTAGGTTCAAAAATAAAAGGATCTTGCATTCGATGGATATCCGGCCCGACTTTTTTTTTTAGTATTGATGTTTAATAGTTATGAGATTAAACTAAGATTTTATTTTTGTTCATTTCTCTATTTCTTTTAAATAAACTTAGTATCAAGTCAAAAAATTTGAATCACAAAGCAACATTAATGATGCTATTTAAAATAAATATTATTATAATGCCTGTATGAAATCTAATTTTTAAATATCTCATAATCGAGATTTGTTAAAAATACACAAAAATATATTGTTATTTGACTGGATCAGCAGATACATACAAGATATTTATTACATCTACCTAAACTACCTTTTAAACTAAATTTTATCTATAACCCCACACCAGAACAGACATCGAAATTCATAAAGAAATCAGTGTTTTCTTTATGTAAACATGGTATTGTACACTTAAAATGAATCCGACAACTGTGTCCTTTAAAATATTTTAGGATATAGAACTGATAAACATGTTATGTTTTTAACTACAGGCATAGGCTATGCTTTTGTCTTGAAAAACTAGTTTTTGCATGAAAGTCATAAGTATTGGTTAAATCATAATGCTTTTGAAGTTTTTAATTTTGTATTTAAAAGACACCAAAATAACGTATAAATCTATTCAAATATGTGAATAAATCCTTATGTTTGATATATGCTTAAATATGTAATTAAAAATAATAATAGTATTAAAATAAAAGTTATAGTTTTATTCAGATGGAGAAAAAAATTCACTTTATATTTTCTTTTGCTAATTCATTTTAATGGAAAACTCTGAAAAAAATTTAGATTTGCTTAGTGAAATCATAAATATAATGAAATTATTATTTTTTTTTTATACCATTGACAAGAGTCTGTCGAGACCGAATTTACTACCGTTTAGCGGTACCTTCACAAATTTAATTTTAGGAAAAACGGTAGTTTCACAAAATACTNTGAAAAAAATTTAGATTTGCTTAGTGAAATCATAAATATAATGAAATTATTATTTTATTTTTTATACCATTGAAAAGGAAATGTTTTTCTGATAATTTTTTAAGTTTTAATTTTTTACAATTGCATCTAAATTATAACAATAGAACAAAACTAAACAAACTAAATTTTGTTAAATTGTTATATATCATATTTTAGTTTACTATTTTGATTAGCCGGAAGCAATGAAATCAAACTATTTTATTATTATTATTTTTTAAATTTTATTTAACTTGTATATGTATAAAAAAAATAAAACAAAGTTGAAGATGTTTACATTTTTTAGCGTCTTTTGCTTGCATCCGGCTAACCGAAAAGTACCTTAGATTTTGTATTATACTGCCTGTAAACCTTAGATATTTTTTACAAATATGATAAGTTTTTTCTTTCTTTCAATGTTAGAAAAAGATGGGGCAAACTTTATCAGAACCAGTTACAGCAAAAGAAACTTCTAGTTGTGGCAATGACTTTATTAAAGTTGGTGCTTCTTGCATGCAAGGATGGCGTATAAGTATCCTTTACAAAACAAAAAATTAAAAGAATATTTTATTTTTATTTAATGATATTTCTATATATTAAAAATATTTTTAAGGGATTAAAAATAATAAGGTGGATGAATATTATTCTTTTTGTTTACTTTTTGCACCTTAACTATGTAACTAGATATGGAAGATGCTCATACGCACTTATTGTCTCTTGCTGAGGATAAAGATGCTTCGTTTTTTGCTGTTTATGATGGTCATGGAGGAGCTAAAGTTGCTGAATATGCTGGAAATAACTTGCATAAAAAAATTGTTTCACACTCATCTTATAGTGAGTTAAATTTTAAACAGTTTTTTAAAAGGCTTTCAGTGTTTTCACTACAGCGCGAGAATCTCACATGTTTTTTTATATTCTCGCATTAAAAAATGATTACCGCGAGAAATTCGCGCATTCTATAAACCAATTTCAAAATTCGCGAATTTCTAGCATTTTGAAGAAAAAAATTTCTCATTTGCGCCATTTAGAATAAAATCCGTTTCACTTTTCTTCCTGGATCTTTTATTATTTTCAACATCTGCCCCATTATCTAGCTTCCCTATTTACCAGTATTGTTCAGAACCTTTAAGAACAACAGAACACCATCCTTCCGAACCACGGAACCTCTTTCAGAACGCATTTCTCTGCAACCACGTGTTTACCGTAGGTAAGGTTTCTTCATGTAAGACGTTCAAATTTTTTGCTCGTTAATGTAAGATGGACAAATACCTTGTAAAGCCAATATCTTCTACTCCGAAACGGACAAATGAAAATGAAACAAATGTGGGTAGAAACGATCAAAACGAAACAAATACGCATTTGAGCAACCTAATGAGAATAGCTGATGAAAAAGTAGATGTAGAACATTTTCCATATGATGATGCAGCAAAAATATTCAATGCTTTAAAAATTAGAAGATGTTAAAAATGCATTATAATTAAAGAAATGATTTTTTTTTCAAGTCTCTTTGTGTTTTTTTTTTTTAATTTTTGAAATCTCACTTAACTTTTTGAAATCTCACCCTGTTTTTGAGAAAGGGTGAGAAATTCTCACCCATTTTTTTTCTGAGATGAAAACGCTGGGCTTTATTCTAGTCTCTTTTAAAGAGATTTACAAATCTGATGTGTTATGCGAATAGTTCTTTTTTAAAATTAAATATTTTAATTAATCACTACTTTTCTTTTAATTTATACTATTTTTCTTGACATATATTTCTTTTTTATACTAAACTACTATTGTTTGCTACGAAAATAAAGACACTAGTTTTAATCTGGAGAAAGCTACGAAAGAACGTAAATTTGCAATAAGTAATATAAATTGTTGCCAAGTTTTGTTTGTATTTGGCTATTATTGTTATTTTATTTTTATATTGAAAGACACCTGTATAATATGTACATTCAGATATACCAATAAGGAAAGTTCCTTGAAGTGGGAGAAATTTTAAAATCTTTAAAATTCCATCTATAAATAATTAAAATATGAAGAGTACTGCCGTGTCTCAGTAATATGAACTAAATTCATAAAAATTACAATTTCATTGAAGGTTAAGATAAAATTTATTAACCAAAAGCAACAATTATGTTGTTTCTAATGCCACCCTGCTAATACTGGCAAGCGTGCTTGGTGAAACAAAGCGAATTTAAGGCAGAGCATGAGTTTCTTGTTTTTCAGTACTGCCATCTATGGCCAAGAATATGACTTCAGCCGCATATACGTCACAGCCAGTTTATTGGGAGGACCCAATCATACATCCCTTTATTCTTACAGAGATCATAATTCTGATCTGAACCAAAGAACGATCAATCTTCAATTCAGTACCCTCAGAGAGGTATTGATTTGCTATTGGAACATGGAGGACTTTGTGACCCGACAGATTTACTGTACACCAGTCACTGTTTACTACGCGAGGAGTCTTCGACCAATGGGGATCAAAATCACCTCTTGGACATAAACCCAACGCCCCACAGACCAAGCTATCCTATCCTCATATGATTGTAAAATTGTTTTATAGGATCCCGTAACAGTTGCAATTTTAGACAAAATTTAAAATCAATTATTTTTTTCTGATTGATTCTCTTATAAAATATGTCTTAAAAATATGGTTCTTCATTAATAACAGCTTAATAATTTGTTAAATTTGTATTTACTTTGCTGATTTCTTAAATTTTTTTCTTGCTAAAAAAAACTTATATAAAATTTAACTATTGACAGGAAAAAAAATCAGACTGAAACTGTAAAAATAAAATAGAAATTTTATAAACTAAATTTTTCAATTTGGCTAAGAAAAAGTGATTTTATTTTCGAACCTAATATCAAAAAACCAAGTGTGCCCGTTTTAAAAAAAGATTTGTATTTTTTTTTTTTTTTTTTTTTTTNTTTTTTTTTTTTTTTTTTTTTTTTTTTTTGAAAAATGCTATTTAAGAAACAACTAACTTTCAGTAAACAATTAAGCACTTTAACTTTGCAAGTATTTTTCAAAATTTAAATGAAGATAAATATAAAAATTATACTTATAGGGGTCAGGAAACAATTGAAACTTTTATTGTCACTTAGTTCAACTAACTAGTTTAAACTAGTTCAAAATTTGAATTGGTGATTTATTCCTTTTGACAATTATAAGGAGATTAATGCTGCTTAAAGCAGTCATTAAATGATGGAAATTTTTGCTGTCATTAGATAGAAAGAGGTAAGCTTTCTATTTTGTAAAAAGCGGTTGATAGTATGGTTCCCCATTCACAGTCAAAACTATTTAACTCTAGTTAGAGTAATATTATATTAGTAATAAGCTTATGACTGTAAGATTCCAAAATAATAAAATTTCCTTAAATATCAAGGAAGCGTAAAATATTGTCTTAAAAATGTATATTTGATAAATTATGTACTACCAACCAGGGTTTGTTGATTTAAATCAACTAATTTATATATATATCTATATATTGATTTTAAAAGTTAAAAAACAGTGTTTCAATTTATTGATACTTTTATTATTATCTTTTCTTAGTTTTGAAATTTATTTTAAATAAATTACTGCATTAATTAATTTTAGTTAACAAAATTACTTTCTTTCTTGGTGTGTGTTAAACTTCATTTGAAATTACATTTTTGAAAATCTTTTGATTCTTGAGATTGAGAGTACAGATTAAAGTAAACATTTAATGCTGTCTTTATATAGATTTGCATAGCTGTTGAAAGTAATTAATAAACATGAATTTTTTCTAAAAAATAATGCAAATAATGTTAATTAAAATTCTACCTTTTGAATGAAAAAGCGTGGAATCAAAATCTACATTATTTTTTATTTTGGAAAATTTATATTCTTAAAAATTACATTATATGCCAAAAATAGAAAAAAAAACTGATAAATTCAGATATGTCATCAGTATGTCATTCTTCCTTTTCAAAGTCTATTTGAAGCAGTAGGGTTATTAACTGGTATTTTTTTCTCATAATATATTTACAGTATCTTTTGACATTACCTGACTTTCTATAAAGAAATTTTGTGAAAATAAACTCCAATGGGTACATAGGTTTTTTTAAAAAACTTTTTAGCTTAACTTTGATATAGAATTAAAAATGAATATTTTAATATAAAAATATATAGATTAAATATTTATATATTTTTTGATGAATGACTACATTTATAAAAACAATCTGTTACGTTTATTTTGTCATTTTAAAAATCAAGAGAAAAGAAAAAGAAATCACAATTTTAAATTAAAATTATGGTTTTATTAATTAAAACTTTGTTTTAATAGTTAAAGTACCTTCACAAATTCAGCTTTAGGAAAAACGGTAGAATAATTTCACAAAATACTTTTTTTTTTAAATTTTATTTTTGTGTCTCGTAAGAAACGATAAATCCATATTTTTACCATATTTGTGTTGATTTTTTAATATAATTTTTAATTTTCACAAATTATGTCTAAATTTTCACAAAATAAGTACCTCTCAGAAAAACCTAGACAGACCCCTGAAGTATTCTTTAAATTCTCTATTTCATCTAATCATTTGTTTCACAATGGTTGCTATGTATTATAATGAAAAATTATTTTATTAAGTTCAGAGCCTCTAAAATATTGTTATAATATAGTTTTAATATTAATTTAATTTTGATTAAGCATTTATAAAGTTCTTTTAATCATAAATTAAAGTTCTTAAAGTGTATTTGACTAAAAATCAAAAAAAATATGATTCTTTTGATTTTTTTTGTCTAAGAGTGGGTGGGTGGGAGTTACAGAGTATTAAATTTTTTCAGTAAGAATTATCTTGGGCTACATTCTCAATAAAATTTTTTTTAATTTTTTCTCCCTTAGAAAAAGGAGAAATAGTAGAAGCAATCAAATCCAGTTTCCTTGAAGTGGATTCAGATATGTTAAAAGGTATTTTATTAAAAATTTCTTATTTTAGCTTTAATTTTAATATTTATATTTTAAATTTTAGTCATTTTATCATTTATCACTTTATTTTGTCATTTAAAAAATTAAAGTTTTGTGTTATTAAGTTTTTATAAAACTAAATTAGTGATTTGTTATTCTAGCCCGATTCTCAGTCGTTAATTTGGATGTATATTGTTGTGGGACTAGATTTGGAATAGATAAATTTTATCTTTTATGTGCCATGATATTATATAACTCCAACATCTACATAACGACATTAATTATAAAATAACCAAGCATTTACCCCAACACAAGTTAAACCCATGTTTTATTTGATGTTGGATTAAAATGTTGTGAAAAGGTTCAAAGAAATACAAAATAAACATTAAAACACAACTATATTTGCTAAGAATAATAAAATATTTAAGTATAGAATTATGTTTATTGATTTAGAATATTAACAAAGTACAAAGAAAGCACTTATGAAGAAAAAAAGACATTTAAAAATATTTAAGTGAAGCGAAAGAAAAGCCAAAATATGACTATAGGAAAAATAATCTCACCTCTGACAATATCAGGGGATATGGTGTCTCCTCAGCATATATTTAAAAAAAAAAAAAAGTAGTTTACTATGATCACATTAATTTAGTTTTTCTTTTTATTTACGTCATGCCATGAAAAGTAGTTTCATATTTTTCTTTTCAAACACTTCACATAACCCTTGATAACCTAAAATTGTAACAAATAATCGCATGCTGAAATAATTTTTTTCCCCAGCATTTTCGCAACAATTTATACCTTTTAAAAACCATTTCTCAATTCCACTTAACAGCTTTTCATGTCTTTAAAAACCTTAGTCATCCTCCAATTTGTTGATTCATTAGCCAACCATCTACGTATCTATGATCTGAATTTAGGTCTCAGCCTTTCATCCCTTCGGTGGATTTATAAAATAAGTACCAAGCATGCTTGGGAACTAAACACTAGGGGTTCCACGTTAGCTGACCACCCAACCAGAACATCTGCTCCTCTCCTGAGTTCAAGGTATAGAAAATTGGGATTTGCACTGTAGGCCTTGGCCCTCCATGGGCTGTCGCAATGATTTTAAAAGACCCTTACATAACAGTAACATTGCATCTAAAGGTATGGAGGTCATAAAACAACAGTTATCATCCCTAACTGATGACGCTCTAATTGTTAACATAAAATGCCCTAGCTTGCTTACTCACTTAAAATAATATCTAAGTTAAATAAAAATACAAACACTTAAATATCTGTTAATAAAACTGATAAAATTTAAATGCAAATTTTTTGTAGTGATCATGCTAAGGCGAACACTTAATTACAAATATTATATAGTGACTTTGTCATTACAACAGATATGTATAGTTTTTATCCATAACTTTTCTTTAAAACACTCAGGCATGTCTAGAGTTATGTTTTTACTGTACTTAAAATCAAAATACATATTTTTAAGAATGTATATAGTGCAGAAATGTTTTGTGTTTCAGCATGCTTATTATAAAGATATATATATTATATTTTAGATGAAAATATGAGAGATGAACTTGCAGGAACCACTGCTGTGATTGTATTGATAAAAAATGGAAAAATATATTGTGTGAGTAATTTCTGCAAATTTTGTTTTAATATTATTCATCTCAAGGTCATATTAGTACATTCAGTCAGCCAAAGTCAGTTACCAAATCGGCAAAGATTTAATTGCTTATATTAGCCTCTGTTAACTTAAAGTTAAATTTTACCAAATTTTCTTTCAATTTTTTTCTGGTTTGTTCAAAAACAGCATGCACATTTTGGTGTCTATCAGTTATATTTGTGTGACCTAATAGTAAAATTTAAGTAAAGTTACCTAATTGTTAAATGTTTCCATTTTTACGTTTTTTCTACTAATTTTTGTATGTTAAATGCTTTTAAAATATTTTATTATCTCTATATTATACATGCAAATTTTTCTTACTAGTTCCAATGTCACATATAATGAGGCAAAAATCATACATTATTTTTATCACTCTTTAACAAGTTATATAAAATATAAATTGTTTAAAAATCATTAAAATAATTATTAGCAGAAGAATGGGGAAAGGGGAATCGTACTTCCATTGATCCTTGTAAGAGACTACTGGCGGAAGGAGGCAAATTGGTCAATGGCTTCTTTGATTGAAAAAGAGAGTATCTGTTACGTTATTATTGCATTCTTGCAAACTTTTTCTCCTGCATTGTAATTCTTTAAATTATTATTGATTATAAAAATAGATGATTGTAAAAGATAAAAGGATGAAGATTACTAATGAAATTTTGGAGAATCGATTCAACAAAATAGAATTTTCAAGCTCAAGCGCTAAAAAAATATCACCAGATAGGCTGCCCTATTAGATATGCCGCACGTACCAAAATTTGATGTTTTAAATCATAAATGCCAGGTCTTATCTCTACGAAAGTAGGGTAACATTCAAGTCTTATGTTTATTTGTTTTAAAAGCCACGGTTACATACTTTGAAAAAGCTGCTATAATATAACTAAGTGAATTTTAGAATTAGAATTTTTTTTAATGTCTACAACATGACTTTTGATGAAATAATAAAATTTTCATGTCTCAGGAATCAGCGTAAACTGTTATTTTTTAGTGCTGACTCCTTAGATTTAATTATGTTTAATATGAAAGTTTAAAAAAAAAAAAAAAAACATTTTAAAAGAAGAAACATTTTTTGTTTCCTCTTCTGAAAATCGAAATATAAAAAAGAAATTAATTTAGTCAGAGTTTTTTATATCAATTATTGTTATTTAATTTTTGATTAAATAACCATAATTGTATAAATTAGTTGAAAAGAGCATGTATATTACAGTATCTCAATTACATTTCAGAACTTATTAGATTATAATATGAAATTTTGACTGGCAAAAAATGTAGTTCAGGATTATATTGATAAAAACAAATGCACTTTTCTCCTTATTTTACTTTTAAGGATCTTCAGAGCATGTTCCTCCAAATCTCCTCCAATTTCATCTAAATAGAAATTAAAGTATGGTATTTTGCAGTATTCCAGGTTTTTATTACATTGAACTTCAGTGCACAACAATATATGACCCTTTATGTATTTTTTAAGTTCGCATTAAAAATTTAATCAATTTTTTACACTTATTTAGGTAATTTTATTCAACGAAAACCAATAATTTTGTCCCAATTTATGTCAATGCCCAAAAAAGTAATTTGAATTAATTGATTTAAACTATTACATCCCTGTGTCAATTAAAAGTGTAATTTGTTAAAATTTTACTATTACTTTTCTTCTTGTCCTTTTAGGGTAATGTTGGTGATTCTCGAGCTGTAGCTAGTGTTGCTGGTTCAGTTCAACAACTATCTTTTGATCATAAACCTAGCAATGAGGGTGAAACTAAGCGCATAGTAGCTGCTGGTGGGTGGGTTGAGTTCAACAGAGTCAATGGTATAAACACATTTGCATATTATGCTTTGAAAGTTTTATGTATAAGTGATGCAGTAATAAATAAATATTTTTTAATGTGATTATTTCAGGGAATCTTGCTCTTTCTAGAGCTTTAGGAGATTTTGTTTTTAAGAAAAATGAAAAGAAATCTGCTGAAGAACAGATAGTTACTGGTAAGTATTTTATGAAGGCAATCATAATAATGTATGTTTGAAACCTCTCAAGGCATTTTGTTTTTAAAGTTTTATTTAAGAATATATTTTCTATTCTTATTTAAACTTTCTTATGTTACAATATGTTAAAAAATAAAGTTGAAATGTCTGTTGCTAAATTTCTTAAGTGAAGAGCATGGGAGGAACAACAATTTGTACACATGGTTTTAGACTAGGTAAATATATCAAGAAGCTATTTACATTCATGCAAAATTCTACTGGGAATGTTTTTTAAATATTTAAAATATTAGCAAATTTATACTTTACCTTTTGGCTTAAAAAGTTTAATTTACAAACCTTTTGACTACCATAATATATAAACAATTCTAACATGTATGTGAGACCTGATATTTGTGCAAAGACTCTTTTAAATGATAGAAATTTTTAAAAATTCTGTGCAACTTAATTATTTTACTATGAATTTTTAGGACTGCTAGAACTTCTGGATTGCTAACTGTGTATTTGCTAAACATTTATGTAATGAAAGCGATCTTACTTAATAACTTAACAAACAAAACAAAAGAACAACTTATACACAATAGCATGGTTGATCAAAGACCAAAAAATTTAACTACTTTCACAATTTAGCGAAACTAAATCCCTTTTAGCTCTTAATTAAGCAACGTATGTATATAAATTTTATCAGAACTGCTCACATTTATAATTTTTTATTCCTAAGTTGTTAGTAATATTTTTTAAAAACTACATCTGCTCTTGAATTTCAAAAGTAATTTCTTTGGTTTAGGTCTTTAGTTCTGAAACTGATCTTCGAAACTTGCATTTGTGACTATTTTTAAACTTGACCTCCCATAACTTGGACATTAAACTTTGACTACTTTCAAAATACTTGCATTAAATCATATTTAATAGGCATAAATAAACAATCCATCTTTATTATGATGGTTCATATGTTTTCTTATCACAGATTTTTGGGAACATGAAGAAAAAAATGCTAAAAATTGCGACGAATTGGTCTCATTTTAGAGCTAAAAATATAACATGGAAAATACAGAATTACTTACAATACTTTGATTAAGAACAATAAATTTTTCTCTACCTATAGTGTGAAGCTGATAATTTTTGAAAAATATATTGTTCCTTTTAAATTATTTTATGTTTCTAGATAATTTAATTTTAAAAAATATATAGCTTTTTAAAACAGCATTATAGTTAGTAATTCTATTGCTAAAGTCCAACATAATTTGCTTTTGATCAAAACTGCAAAACATGCTGACCTTTTTGAAATCCGAATTCTGTCTTAATGCTTTTAAATTAAGTTTGAAGCTTGAATCGTTTAGTTTTAAAGTATAATCGAACTTGTTATAAGGAATGAACTAAAAATAATTTCAAAGCATATAAAAGTTTTTGGTCAAAATAATTTTTATTCAAATTTTGTATAAAATAATATTTAGAGAAAAATCGAGGTTGGTGGCTCCTTTCTGAATATCAGCAGTTTTAAAAATGTTTGAGTAAGTCATAAATCATTGTTTATTTTGGACTAAGTAAAGCAAGAATTTTTTTTATGAGAACTTTTTTTAACTAAAAACCTTATCAGTTACTTTAAGAAATCATTCATAATTTTAAATTTAATGCTAACTATGTTATAGTTATTAACTATATGTCTGTTTTCAACAGCCTATCCAGATGTAGTTGTCAAAGACTTAACTCAAGATCATGAATTTATTGTCCTTGCATGTGATGGTATTTGGGATGTGATGACTAATGATGAAGTAGTAGATTTTGTCAGAACAAGAATAGCTGCTAGAATGGAACCAGAACAAGTAATTATTTCACCTACATTTATATTTTCTATTTAGACAAGTTTCAATTCATTGAATGTCAACAAAATTAAAAATAAATGTACTCTTAATCTCTGCACAGAGCTGAATTGTAATAGGACTTAAGCAGAAACTTGGTTTAAAATTGTTCAACCATATTCTGGCCTTTTATTTATTTATATTTTTCTTTAAAACAAAATAGCTAACATAATGGATAACTTTTGTTATATGGTTCATATCATTAAATAAGTGAGGCAGTCAATCTTTTTTTTTCTTTAATTTATTTAAATTTTTTTTTCAACTTCCCTGTGGCTGATTTATTTTGTATGAGAAATTATTAGGGAGTGATGATCATTAACGTTGAAGAATAATGAACATTCAGTAATTTTCCTTAACAGTTTTTGTTTTGATTTTTTTACTCTTTCCTTCCTGTTTCATTATTTTGTAACACTTTTCACTGTAGCTTTGAGTCATAGAAATCCATTTCTGCTGTTGTTCCTTTAATTTATGAATAGCAGGCTTAAAATAAAGATTTATACTAAATATTTAGTTGAGAAAAAAAAATTTTTTGAGGTATACCCTCTAAAAGTTTTATTTTATAAAATGGTTATAATGATTTCATTATCAGATGGTTTTGATTTGGTAATGATTCTGTGCTAGCAAATTATATTTTAAAAATGGCAGATTTTATAATCCTTTGATTTTATTAGTGGCAATCACTGTGTTATTTTTAAAGCAACACTTACTTTAACCTGGTAAAATTGCCAAAACAAGGACTATTATAATTATTGCTATAATATAGTGTTTTATAGTATTATTTGTACAACCTGCCAAAAAAGGATCATCCTATAACTTTTGATCTAATGATCAAATCTTCACATTCTAGGATTCAATCTTAATGCTAGAGAAGGTGATTTCAAATATGCTAATTAATTAGTGCACATGATATTTTAAGTTACAAAATCAGACATACAGTCAAACCCCACTATAATGAACCTTCAAGGGACCGACATTTTGGTTCACTATAACCGGGGGTTCACTATATCCGTTACGCATGCAATTTAACTAATGATTCCCAAACTCCTCCCTTTTATTACACATCATTCAAATAAATGACTTAAAAATATTGTGTAGTAGTAAAAGATGTGTTATTTTTCATTACTCTTCGTCGTGCGTGCAAAAAAAATTAGTATTTTTTAGGTGATGAGCAATCCTCAAAATCAGATATTAAAACACTTCCTGACTCTCAGATAATTTTTCCTGAATTTCTGTTATTCCGCTATTTAAACCTGTCTAATCTGTCATTCGAGCACATAAAAGTTGCCTCATAAAATCGCTTAGCAAATTCATGGACATTTGCCCAGATACTGGAAGATTGCGGCTTCTTCGAATGGTGAACCACTTCAGTAATGCTTCTTCAACATCCTTGTGATCCGCTTTTCTCAACTTTTTTCTGCCATCGAAATTTTTAATAAAAAGATAATTTGAAATAAAAGAAGCAAACAAGAAAAAATGCTTATCGCTACATTCCCCTCTATAGATGGTTTTAAACACTGGTATACGTATTTATTTTGAAGTAGAAATTTCAAACTTGTTACAAAAAAAATGAAGAAAAAATCAGTCGAAGGCAGAAAAAAGTTCATTATATCCAAATTCCTCACATTTTTGGTTCACTATATCCACAAAAAATAACATTATACGTGTATAGCAAGGCACGGGACCGAACATTTTGTTCACTATATCCGGGAGTTCACTATAAACCGTGTTCACTATAGCGGGATTTGACTGTATAAACATATTTTCTCAGAATAATCATACCTTTTTTTCGACAGATTCAGATATTGGACCCCTTAATGTTAATTTTACTTTTTACATAGTTCGCCAGATCTCAAAAACTTTTAAGTGAACTAAAATGAATTGAAACATTTTTGCACACACTTATAAAATTTGATTATCCAAAGATAATTACATGCTAAAAATAACTTTCAGCAAATATTTATTATTTTAATATTGGCCAAAAAAATTTCGAATTGTATGGTATGCATTTTTTTAACATTTTTAAAAATGTAATTTTGCATGGAGTACAATGTAATTTTACATACAAACGTAGAGTGAAATTGGCCGAATAGCTCCTAAATAGGGTTGCCACTATTTGCAACTATTTTCAGCGTGAGGCAACTTTTTTTGCCTAAGCAGGCTAAAACAGCAACTATTTTCAGGAGAAGAAGACTATTGGGAGACTTTTCTGTACTCTTAGCGATGTTTAGTTAGATTTTGTTTATATATTGCCTGCAGAGGTTTTTGAACACAAAGAATTTTTTTCTTAATTAAAAAAATTGGAAGTTTTGAATCGCAAATTTTAATGATCACTTTTTAATGCGTTCATTATGCACTCATTCCTCTGTGAGTCTCTTTTATTTCTTGATCCCCTTGTTAACGGTTATTGCTACAAAATGTTTAAGACTATATTGTAGTGCGCAAATTTCGTAATTGAGTAATCACTTTTCGCCTACCTCTATTTTTGCCATTTTATGTAAATCCAGGCAATGTTTCGATTTTTATTTTATTTTTATTTTTTTTAATTTATAGTATTATCAATTTCTGTGTGATTTTTAAAATTCTGATACATTTATTATGATTTATGAGTTTTATATCTCATATTTAATTGATGTGCTTTATTTGTGCTGATTTCATTGTAAAGCTAAATGTTTTTCCTTTTTTTTTTCCTAAGATAGCTATTACTACGCATTTCTAATGATTTTGAAAATCCTGCATTTTTAGTACAATATTATTACACTACAAGAGAGTTTTTAATAATGGTAAAAAGCACAGATTTTAAATTAGAATTGCAAATTCTATATATGTGCCGAGAAAATATTAGCATCGGAATTTTCTTTGAAATACCAAAAACTCTTGAATACGCTATGTTTGTCTTTAAATAAATCAATGGCTAATAGTTAAATGATTTAAACTTCTTATTTCCATCATTATTAACATCTATTTCTTTTTTCAGATTTGTGAGGAACTAATGACCAGATGTCTTGCACCTGATTGCCAAATGGGTGGGCTTGGTTGTGATAATATGACAGTTGTTTTGGTATGCTTGTTGCAAGGAGACTCTTATGAAGAATTAGCTAGCAAATGTTCCAGGGTCTTTCCAACCTCACGCGACGACACTCTTCTGCTATCTGAGTCGTCTGCGTCATCATCTGCTTTAATTCTGTCAGAATCATCCTTGTCCGAAACAGAAGATGAAGAAGAAGGAGATAACAAAACAACTGATAATGTTCAACAGCATGATCCTTTATCCCTGGACACAAATAGGCCATCCACAAATTCAAATAGTGCAACAACAGAAAAACCGCCTGCCTCGCTAAGTGGGATCGTTCAAATGGAGGGAGGAGAACTAACAATAGCGTAATTGTGTAATATAACATAAAAATTTAATTAATGAAGAGTTCTATAGAATATAATGTGTGCACAATTGAACTAAGTGAATGTGATGAAATTAAAAAAAATATTGTATATAGAAGAGTGTTATTTCTGAATAAATTTTTAACTCTGTGGCACAAAGGATAGAAATATTTAAAATACAAATGTCATGTCTGCTTTCATTGTATAAAATTCATTACATTCTCAGGTATTTTAAATTTAATTACTGTATTCATGTAAATTCTTTGTTATTTATTTAAGGATTATATTTGTCTTTGTGGCATTCCTTTGTATAAAAATTATATTTAGTCAATTTTTGCTCATGTATTGTATAATAAGCATTAAGTTTTTACCACACATATATTAGATTTTTTTTTAAATTTAGCTTTTGTTTTTCTTTTATTTGCTATTTACAATTAACTCTATATTTCGTCACAAGTTTGTTGCAGTAGATTATTGCATTGAATTGAGTATATTACTGTATTGAACAAGCATGTATATCACAAAAGAAAAATTTTCCAGTGATTTTATTTAGTTACTTTTTTTCTTTGGTTGTATTTTATTGTATACATTTTTAGTGCAGGGCTATTGTTAACTCTAACCATTTCATTGCAGCTACTGTTGATACTTTAAGATAACCTTATCTTATTGCATAGTCAAACCTGTCCTTGTGCCATATTTAGTTATCATTCATATTGTATCTAAGATCAGTTTATTACTTTTCTTTTATGCATAGCATAATAAATTAATGAAGGGTGCCTTAATATAAGTACCAATTTAAATTAGTTCAGTTCAAGACCTTGAGATCCTCACATAATCAAACTACACTCTCTCAAATTATAATGCTAAGGTAATTAAATTTTTTTTCTTCATAAAACTTAGCAGTTGCTGCTGTTTACATATTTATAAATAAAATATTTTAAATAAATGTATGTTACTTATATAGTTGTGATTTACTTCAAAAACTCAGACTTAAATTATATTATCTTTAAAATATTTTACAGATATATGTAAAATGTTTGTGCTATTTTTATTTTAAGCATGTGACTTTTTTTTATCCTTTGAATGATTATGTTGCTGTCAAATTATTCTCTTTTTTTTTTCTTAAATCAACTTATGAATTTTTTTAATAATGTTGTTATTCAATGTATTTAATTTCCATAACAATTATTTTCATTAAAGTTCAAATTCTTTAGTAAAAATAGTTTTAAATGATTATTTTATGCCTCTAATAATCAACTTGTATAGTATGAATTGAGTATTTCATTTAGCATTTTATTACTATAGAAGTATACTCTTGGGGGGGGGTTTGTTTATTTTCTATTGCCTGAGATTTACTAATGGATCTTGGATATTTTCATATCGCTGATTAATCAATTTCTCTTCTCAAGCTACTTAATTTTTTTTTTAAAATAATTTTAATTTAAAAGTTTAAAAACACTTTATAACAGGGAGTCACATAAATGTTACAACAAACTTTTAGGGAAATTAGAGCCAATCATGATTTAAATTGCATAAGAACCCACGACTGTAAATATCATACGCTGCTAGGGGCACTTCCCTATTATTACTTCTGAACTGGTTATAATAGAGAAGTGCCTCTATTTGCATACAACATTTCCTGGTATGAATTCCTATGCAATTTGAATCCTGATTACAATTTTAAACTTAAACTTTTTTTGTAACTGCTTAACACACTTGCATTCAATGGAAAAATGTCAAAAAGCAGACTAAATAAACCAATCGAAAAGTGATCTAGAGACTCAACACTCAAGACTAGGTCTTACATTTATAGAAATACAAATAAAGAAACAGCGGGGGAATCTCAGTTAGTTTTTTTTTTTTTGNGTTTTTTTTTTTTTGGTTTTTTTTTTAAATTTCAAATAAAAAAAAATATATCTATTTTTGGTGTAAATACTTTAAAATTTAATTACATACATTTGTTCAGGGCTAAACGTGGTACTTTTATTAGCAGCAGTTTCTAAACAGTACTTGACGAATATATTCTTGTATTTGTTTTATATGATTGATGGTTTCAATTCAATAATTTCATGAAATTTTCTTTTAAAATTAATGATAGAGTTTAGAATTTAAAAGGAAAAAAAACTAGTATTCTTAAATTATAATAAAATGATATCTATAAAAAAAATCTTTATTGCCTAGGTCACAAGAAAGAATCAACATCCTTTAAAGTTTAGGAATTATCACAATCACTGAGCATAACACAGTTTTAAAAATGAATATTTACAAATGTCATCACATCATAGGCTTGAAATATTTCAATAAAATTGACATGATTTCAGTAAAGCTGTTCTTTATAGGTATCATGATAAAGAAAATGTAACAAATATATTTTGTTTGTTATGCGATGTAGCAATAAAAACAATTAGTCTGTCAGACAAAAAAGAAACACATAAATCACATTACTATTATTCAGAGTAGATAAATAGCCAGAACAAAGAAATTATAACTAAGTAAAGGGGAAAAAAATGAGTAAATTGCATAACATATACAATGAGCAACAGGAAAAAAAGAATTTATTAGAAATAGCTATTTTTTATTTTATGGTTTCAAACCAAATATTTTTATTTTATTTTTGATCATTCATATGCACACAACACCCAAACACCTAGCCTTTTTTACCATTCATACATGTTCATTAATTTTAAACATATTTGACTAATCAAAATGCCAATATTAAAACAATGTTGTAGAAGACAAAATTAAATACTATTCATTATGATTAACCTTTTAACTGTCAACTTCCAATAAAGTTCGAAATAAAATCAGATTATTTTCTAGCTTAGCAACTGGAGTTTTCTATTAGTTATAAAAACAGTATTCATCAGGAAAATCTATTTATGTCTAACTAAATTGACGGATGAAAGCAAATTTAAAACTCTGAAATTGTAATTTATTTTTACTGTACCAGCATTCATACTCGTTTTCATTGTTCAAATATTTCTTTAACTTGCTTAATAAGAATGCCAATACCACATTGTATAATTATATACCCGTTAGTAAAATATACAACTTTTGTAGTATAATACATAAAGGTCGCTACTTCAATAATTTTCTAAAGCAAAGGTTTTTATAATGAAAAAAAAAAAGACAAACAGGCAAGCAATGTCTTCTAGAAACATATAATATGGATTTGTTGTTTTTTTGTAATATAAGTTTAATCATTTAATATAAATTTTATGCTAAAAATAAACCAAATTATGACTAGCTAAAGAGAGGCACTAAGTAACAATTAGCAAATATGTTTAATAGGTTCTTTCATATCACAATTTAAAGATTGTCATTTTCAATGAATCAGCATCAACCAAAATAGTAATAAAAAAAGGAAAAAATAGAAAACATGGGCAAAACATCAATGGTAACTATAAATTATATACTGTTACAAGACATCAGAACATGTCCTATAACATTAATACTGTTATAGGATATCAAAAATAGTTGTTACCGATATTATCTGTATTAATCTCAAAAATTTGTGAAATAATTCTGAACAACAAAGTAACATAATTCTGAAAATAATTTTTACATAAACAGAGAACTACATTTATTCAATAATAGTTAGTGTTTTTTTTTTTTTTAATAAGACATGTTATGAGTTCAATTCATTAAGAAATGCTTTTAAACTTAATAAATTTTCGCAGTGAGAGGCTTAATTGCAATTCTACAAAGTATGAATCCATTTAAAAAATTCTGGCTTATTCAACATCATTAAGAGCTTTTAATATCCTTTCTTTAATCTAATTAATTTGATAAAATAAGAATCTAATTAAAAAATTTTAGCACATTCAATACCATTGCTTTATGTCTTTAACCAGCATTTTTTTTCAAAGACACATTTAAATTTTATGGGATTAGAATTATGAAGCTGACAAATTATATCCAATCATTATGTTCTTAATGGATGTGTCATTTTTGAAGAATATGAATAAGCAACTTTTAAAAGAAAAATAAATAATTAACAATATATATATTAACATATTATTAATATGATAAATGTAATTTTTTTCAAGAAATTAATCAAATAAGCATAATTGATGGTCTATTATTTGAAAGAAAACACCAGATAAATATAATACATAACTTTAAAGGCACCTAACGTTGAAACAATAGATTTGTAAAACTTTCCCAAGTTTATAACACATCATATGTTGTAATTGAATATAGAGGGTATTCTTGTGATCCAGTGAGATCTCTAGATCCAGTGAGTTTTTTAAAATATTCTACGAATTTGCAATCATTAATTGAGGTAAACTAATTTGAAAATGTGGTACGAATGCTCCAGTTACACTAAATTGAGCTTTTTCTTCTCCAATATGAAACATCTCTCCTCTAGTGGAATCATTCATAGAAGATTTAATGGGAGTAATGAGGCCCAGGTAATGAGATGATAATGCATCTGGGCTAGTTTTCAGTGCTTGATTTGGACATGAAGACAACTCTGGAACTGATACTGATTTGTGAATATTACTGTCTGGCTTACCCAATATATTGTTCATAAAGCTTTTCTTACTCGCTGAAAGAAAGAAATAGAAAAATATTTTAGATGTTATTTGAGGAGGTAAAAAAAGAAAAATTGAGTATAATAAATATTTTGGAATCACTTTTTTGGCATTCTCATCAATATAGTAAGATGAAAAAACTATTAATCAAATTTGAATGTGTTTAAAATAAAAAAAATATGTGAGCAAGTAAATAGTAAATTAAATTTGACACAATTAATAAATTTGCTTGCAATCTTGAATAATATTAAAATGCAATAATAAAAAAAAGTTCTTGATTTAGACTAGATCTCACCTACTAGCAGAATATATTTGAGGTTTTGAATGATGCATTAGCAAACGTGGAAGAGTATTTATTTAAAAATAATTCTAAAAAATATATTTAATGGAGTAATAAAAAACTTATTTCTGCATTATATTCTTTTAATAAATATTAAATTGTAAAGGTGAATGCAAAAAAAAAACTTACATGTAATTTCTTTTTTCAATTTTAGTCTTAATAAAGTCACTTTCCATTCTTCAGAACTTTGATCAGAAAGCATCTGACATAATGCTGTTGATAAGTCTAAATCTTGTTCACAACCTTGAATATGGAAAAAGAAATAACAGATAAAGATATCAACACACCAAGGTAAATGACTGTTGTAGTTTAATAATTTAGTTATGGTTCAAGAGTAACAGTCGTCATTGCACGCATTGCTTTGGCGACAGCTGCTGTTTGATAATTTTTAGAATTCTGTTTTTCACTTTAAGTTCATTATGCATTGATATTTTTGGCGAGTTTACTCTTGAATTGGGGGACCTGATAGATCCTATAAACATCACTGAAATTGTCAATAAAGAGAATCTTAACCCTTGAACAATGTTTTCCTTGTTTAATTAAGAATCAGAAATCTAGTCTACAGTTCAGTTATTATGAGCGAATTTTTAGAAAAATATAAAATTAAAGGTATATAGTATTGTAAAAGCAAGCTCAGTAATTCAAAGTAAAAATTGTACTCATGGAGTACAGAAAACAGTTCTCAAATGAATTAGTTAAGAAATTTTATCTATACATATATTTTTTTTTCTGAAATAAAAGGACTAAACTAAAATTTTATTTTATTTATTTATTTTTTAAATTATAACATTGTTATGCCCTTTGGTTGTGATTCCAAAGACATTGATAAACAAAAGCATACAATTCATTAGACATATTTATAAGACATGTTTTGTCTTGTTACCACCAGTTAGGTCTTGTGAATCTGTCTAATAAATTGCATGTTTTTGTTTATCAATGTCTTTAGAGTCAAACTGGATGAAACTTAACAGATAGAATCAACAGACTTAATGTTAGGTTCAACAGAGTAGGTATATAGATTTTGCAGATTCATTTATTATTATTATCTTAAATGCTCGTTTTTTTAAATTAAAATTAAAATAATATAATTTTTCAAAGACAAATATACACATAATTATTAAAAACACATTAACACTTACTCAAAACCTATATCTTTCGGTTGTGGTATCAATAGATGAATTAATATTATTTATTTGGACAATTACACGACTGAGCAAAACAAACAGATGAAATGAACTGTCTTTCTTATGTTGTGTTTAATAGTGTAGGCATACAATTTTCGCAGTACTTACAAACCGTTTATTTAATGTTAGATACATAATTGTTAGATATTGTTTGTTAGATATTTAATACATATTGTTTGATAGATATTTAATGTTCGTACTTACAGTACGAACATTAAATATCTTACAAACATAAATATTGAAGATCCATCCATTACTAATATCTCACAAACATATAAAATTTTACAAACATATTAAAATCTTACAAATTGAACTGTGGTAATTTCTTTTCCTTTGAGTTTTTTTTAAAAATTTTAAGATCACTTTGAGAAAGAAAAAAAAAGCAAATAATATGTAGCTAGATATTTCAGAGTGGTATGATAGATACCCGAAAGTCTGATGTTTAACCCAAAAGCTTTTTTTTTCATCCTAGGAAATAATTTCTACTAATCAATTATAATCAGATAAATAGAATTCTACAATAATAAAATCTTTAATTTTATAGTTTTGTTCAATATGAAATTAAAAGAAAAGCACCCTGCTTAGTATCGTGAGTGTAACTTTGGTAAGGCAATTGATAAACAGAGTCTGAAAGACATAATCACTGTTTACATTTAAAAACAATCAAAATAGAACTGCTAATATCATAATTTAACTAAATAGTTGTAGTTAATTTACATCGCACTAGAGCTACACAATGGGCTATTGACGGCGGTCTCCGAAGACATGCCATCTCAACTTTGATCCTCTGCAGAGGGGGTGGCACCCCCGCTTCGGTAGCCCAACGACCTGCACGCGAAGTCGAGCACTTTACAGCAGCACACTTTAACGAGGACCAATACCACACACAATCGGTCCCTACGCAGACTACTCAAAGTGGGCTACCCACCCGCACACTGACCGCAGCCAGTGATCTGCCGGGAGCCGTGTCTTAACGATCAGTCCACTGCAGGACTTAACTAAATAGTAACTGTGGTGAAAATCTTCACAGCAAGAATTGTTTGAGAGAAAAACTAAATAATCATCATTTTTTATATTTTTTTAATAAAGACATATTTTGTAATACAAATACTACAAAACAAAATTTCATTAAATTATTGAGTTAAAATTTTTCTACCATATAATACTATTAATTAAAAAAAATTAAAACTGGTTTACACACCTCCAATGCCTTCTTCATAAAATTTACTGAGCTTCAGAAGCGATCTTTCATGCCCAGAGGAAGCAGCATCCGAATACATTTCAAAAGCAACCTTTTCATCTTTGTTTGTTCCCCATCCATTTTCATAGCACATTCCAAGATAATATTTCCCATCTAGTACCTTTCAAAGATAATAAAAAAAATTAAATTACTATGACTAAAGATACAGGACACCTGGTAGACATTTAAGATACCTGTAGACATTTAAGCAAAGCAATTTTCATGATTTTCAAACTTTAAATTATCTATAACTTTCATCCCAAACATATCAACAGTCATCACACTTTAACTGAATCTAAAGGTTGCCAAGTTTAAATATGCCACTGTCACAATTCAATGCGTTACTTTTGGCAGAAAAAATTATGAATATTCTATTCTATCTTCATCTAAGAGCAATTTAAGAAATTTAAGTGTCCAGACATTAACTATTATATTCTAATTGGAAAAAATTATAAAGTATTTTACTTTATCATGAGTAACACATATATTAGAAAATAAATTATTATAAAACCTTCATTTCGATTCTTAATTAACATTTTCAATCAAAATAAAATTGGTAGAAAAAATAATATTTGAAACTAAAATCAAATGGCTAAAATATATTTCAAAAGAGTAAAATTTCTCTCCTTAAACCATATTTGAAGTTTTTAAATGAGCATATTTGAAGTTTAAAGAGAGAATGAAATTTCTCTCCTTAAAGCATTTTTGAAGGAAGAAAAAAAAATAAAAATTACATCAAAATAGTTAAGTTTCTCGATAAATTGCTGACTGTGAATACACAAAAAGCTTGAATGTCCCCCATCTTACAGCAGAATTTTATACAACAAAAATTTCATACAATACATTTCATTAATATTACAAAATATGCAGACAGGACAATTATACAAAATTAATTTTTTTTATTCACACAACATCTAGACATCATGTTCAAATATTAAAACTAAGAAACTCCTTTCTATCTTTCAATTCCTACTATTAAGTCACTCTCCCTATATATATTCATATATCTTGTTCAAATTTTCAATCGTTAATAAAATACTTTTTATTCATCCACTAAAGTTCAAATACATTTTTTTTAAACTCGTAGTGGATGACACTTGATTTTAATAGTTTTTTTCAAATATTAATTCATTAATTAAAAATAATTAATTAATTTTAGGTTTATATGGGAGAAAAAAATTTCTATAACATAAGATATTTAGTAAGATATAAATTTAGGAGTAAATACTTTCAGTGGCGAAGCATGTAGATCGCTGGAAATAAAAAAATTCTCTTTCAGATTCTTTTTTCATTCATTTTAAAAACTGTGTTTGGTATATCATGTTATACTCAATCGTATTATACTTTTATTGCATAGAGAAAAATAGAAATTCAAATAAAATTAATGAACAAATGAATGAATAAATTTATTTATGTAAAACAAGAAAAAGGAAAAAAATTTTAGAAAGCCATTGAAAATGAATTAAAAGCAAAATACTGCTATATAGTAACCATCTTGAAAAAAGACTACTTGAAAAATAACATCATTTACCTAATATTATTTAAGGGAAAAAAATACTTACACTTTTCTTTGCCAATACTGTAAACATTTGAAAAGCTTCTGAATAATTAGAATTTTCTAAGTAGTCTAAGCCAAGATACATTTGAGCCTGTGATAAATATGTAATCACATTTAGGATACAAATAAATATAGAAAACTTTATTTATTTACAAGCATACAGTATCAAAGTAATTGTTTCAAAGCAATTCAAATTATAATTAAAGGTTTTATTGTATAATTTATTACATGATGCTACTTTAAACCAAAAATCAGAAAAGAAAAATGGAAGTTATTCAAAGTATTAAGGGATATGCATTTTTGTTTTTCTTAATTTAAAAAATAAGAGGGAGATTAAACGTATGTTTTTAAGCTTTTTAAAAATTTAATAAGGTAATAATGGCATAAGACATATTAGATAATGTATAACATTACAGGATTTTTAAGGTTGCAAACGTTTAACTAAACAACCTGTGTTAAGGGGGGGGGGAAACTGACGTGAGTGAGAAAACAGTATTGAAACATTTGTGATGAAATAATAACAGAATAAAGTTTTTCCTGTTTATTTAGTTTAAAAAATACTTTGATTTTTTTTTTCTTCAGAAAATTTCATAAAACTTATATTTTAGTGGTTTTTTGCCCCTAGCTATAACATTAAGAACTTTATTTTTAGTCCTGGAAATAATTTTTCTTAACTGTATGACAAAATTATGCAATATAACAAATACAATCATATAAATTTATAAATGTCACAATACTACTATCATCAAAATGAACAAAAGGTCACAAATTAAGTGATTAATCAAACTGCTCAGTTGTTCCATAAGTGCAAAATAACATTTAGTTCCATAAGTGCAAAATACATTTTAAGGTTTCATATTGTTATGTTCAAATATAAAACTTATTTTTAAAACTTTTCTGCATGTAAATACACACAAAACTCATCTCCAGAGTTAATACTCCTTCATCAACAAAATTATCTGATTCCAACTTCAATAAAAATAAGCTATACTATTATAAAAAAAATAGTTATACTTTAAAATACGCAAAGCAGATAAGAATAGATAGAAATTTAAAAAAGAGGATTAGTTAATAACATTTAACCTGTTAAAAAGAAAACAAGGCATTTAAAATTCATATCAATTTTACTTACTTCATATTATTTTTTTTAAAACATGAGAACAATATTAGGAAATTTCAAAAATTATTTGATTAGCTGCTTTTTTGCAACAATTACTAAACTTCTAATAAAAAAGAAATATTCTGTAATTTAAATTTTTTTTTTAAGTTAACAATTTAGTTATTAATATACAGTTTTGACTTTTAAAACACGATCATACCTCAGAAATATTTTTCTCAGCAGCTTGAGACATCAAAATATTTGCTGCTTCAGGATCAACAGGTAAACCACCAATACCTTTAAGATAGTATACTGCAAGGTTATATGATGCTAAGCCATGACCATTTACAGCAGCTCTTTTATAACAAAATGCAGCCTAAATTAAACAAAAACAGGATCACTAAGATATAAAATACTTTGCTACTATACTGCATGGAAAACAAAGTTCCTAAAAAATTATAATGAAATATTTTTAAAATTGTAGTTCATTATTCGTTATAAAACATGGTGGGTTATATTATTAAATATTTTTTCAGATTTTAATAAGGACTTGGTCCATAAGATTTAAACTTATTTTCAAAACTTTAAAACTCCCTCATTCAAAATTGAAATGTATCTTTTAGAAGTCTCAATTTGAGCACAATCATGGTAGTTCCAACATATTTTTATCTAGTCGTTGGTAGTTGCCAGGCAAATTGTTTTTAACTACTTCACCTGAAAATATATGTTGTATCTAAAACATTTGTTTACAATAAATCTTCTGAATATTTTATCATTAAAAAGCACAGTATTATTTATACAGTTGGCGCTCAATATAACAACCAGTAAGGTCCGGCAAAAACAAATGTTATAATGTGAGATCGTTATATTCTAAGAGCTTTGAATATAGACTCATAGCTAAAAAAAAAATAATAATAATAGTCGACCAATTTTAACAAAGCAATGCTTTACTTTAATAAGAATCGGTGTAACTAACAGAAAAGCTGTTAATGACATAACTTTTTTTCTACAATTATATATGAGTAAAAGTGCCCTTTAAAATAATATTTCATATGTGAAAAAGCATTAAAAATAATATACTGGTTCCATTTGCTGCTATTTCCTATAACAACATATGTCAAAATAATTGAATAGCCCACATTTTTTAACTGAAAAACTAACCCCACAAGAAGTTCACTCAAAAACTAAACCCAACAATTTTCAAACAAGAAAAGTATGAGAGCTAAATTAATTGTATTTTGAAAAGAGGAAATTACACAGATTATGAATGACTACAAATAACGACCACCTAGAACCTAGATAAGAATTTAGGGGGTCTTGTCACTCTTCCACAATTCAAAGGGGATAAAAGGCATTTTACGCACATAAATTAGTAACATCAAAGGATATATTAGGCTAAATAATTTCTTCAATCTTTTTCTAAATCAAATAACTAAGTTCCGATTGTTTTATTGGAATAAATGGCTCACTACAGACATTCACAAACGGACATTAAAACATAATTGCATCAATAAAATAGTTAACAGGACTTTATGCATAGGTCATTCCATGGAAGAGTCACTGCAATGGGAATCGAACCAAAGAGTGTTAAATGTATGTATGTATATATATATATATATATATATATTAATTCCATTGCTTTCAAGAAAGAAAAAAATACTAAGTTTGGTGAGGATTATGTAATATAAATGTAATTTAGATTTTGCATACTAAACTGATTCTTTTACAAAAATAATAATAAAGCTAATTATTATCAGAAAACAAATAACTAAGTTAAACTGCATTTTGAATCAATTCAAAGAATGTCTGAAGAGGGAAAAAAAATTGAAGTTTGCAAACAATATTAGCAAAGTAAATAAAACTTATTCTTGAAATTATGGCAAATAAGAACAATATCACACAAAATAAGCAAACAACCTAAACATAATAGTTAGATATGCAAAGGGCATAAGCATACACTTAATATATAACTGTGTTTAAAACTTACCCTAGTTAAATTAACTTTCGTACCATTCCCTAATTCATAGCAAAGCCCCAAATTGTAGAAAGCTTGAGTGGAACCAAGATATGCTGCTCTTTGAAAAGACTTAAAAGCTTTTTTAGAATTTGCAGTGATTTCACTTAAACCTGAAATATTATGCACAGCAGCTGCATATGGAATACTGTGTTGTTTCATATAATCAAAACAATTTAAGTCCGGTGGAACCTATCAAAGATTAATTTTTATTATAAATATCACTCCAAAGAAATTAATAAAAACGATGATATTGATATTATTCATATATGTTACCATTGCCGTACCTCAGCTTTTAAAGTTTTATCATTAGTACTATCTGATAGACATTTTTGTGAGTCTTGATTAGTTGATTGGATAGGACGTTTTTCCTTCTTGAAATCATTAGGCATAGCAAGAACATTTTTTGAGAATAAGCAGTAAGATTCACCTCCAGCATAATTGTGAATATAATTCAGATGTTTAAAATGAAAGTTGAAACAAAGAACTGTAACTGTACCCTGAAAAAAAGAACATGATTAAACAAAACAAAATTAAAATTTAAAAACATTAATTTAAAAAAAATTTAGAAAAAAGCATATTTTAAAATTTCAATGTACTACACTAAGATTAGTCAACTATTTGTCCAACTGCGCTTTCTTAGTTAACATAAGATTTTCTAACTAACAGCTTACTACTTTTAAAATAACTTAATTTAGGGCAATGGCAAACTATTTAACAAAATTTTTCAGAGGAAGCATGTAGCTGAAATCATGTTTTAATTTATGTTTTGAATAAATGAATATAATGCTGTATAATCGTTTCCCTAGAAAAACAACCATTGGATATATCCCTCATAAATTATAGTGGAAACTTTAATTGCCAACAAGTAGGTGGTAAGGGAATTAGGCTGGTTAGAGCAAAAGTGTGCTACTACCAACTAAACTTACATAAGAAACTTAGAAAAACTTTAAAAAAAATAGAATACTATACAACTTGAAATCACTAACTTTAAATTTTTTAAGTACAATTTCCAGCTGTAATTAAGATTTTGATTATTGCTTTTTCTTTATGTTAATATTATTAAATAGCTAAGACTCAATTTTTCTTTTTTTATTTTACTGCAAAAACATACGACTGTTAAAGTTATTCGGAAGGCTTTTGATATTACTGTGATGTGATTCACACATATTTTTAATATATTATTACTCCTATATCATTATTTAAAATAGAATTTGAATTAGTTTCTTATCATTATTATTACTGCCTAGTTATAATTAAATCAACTAAGTTTTTAAAAGTGTTGTTGTATTTTAGATTACATAATAATTAAGTTTGCAGCATATACAATTTTTAATTTGTATGTAATCAAACTTATTTATTAAAATATGTAAATTACATTAAATAAAAGTCACTAATTTCTAGCTTTTTACTATTTTAAATATATAATTTTCAGCCTAATAATTTAATTTAGCTAGATTTTTCTTTTATTGTGATTATATATATATGACCAAAAAATAAGTTTATAATTATCTGAATTAATTGAATTTTGAATATGTTCATTACTTTTTTCTCCTTTTTCCATAAATAAATTGCAAAAATGACAAGCATATTTTAATATCTGCAAGAATATCACAAAAATAAAAAAACTAAATTTATTTTTCTTACTAGCCATCCAACTTTTTCTAAAAATGAAGCTTTAAATAAGAGAAACTTCATTTGTTCACAATTCCAAAACCTGTCATTCTGCTTAAACTGTTGTTTTTGTTTCTGGTCTTTATCAGAATATCTAAGGGGGAAAAAACAAAAAACATAAGACATATAAACTAAGAACAAATGTAGAAAATCAAATTGCATGAATTATAAATTTACCCTCTCAGTTTTTTCAAAACATTAACCAGCAGGTTTCCGTATATGCCCTCATGTTATTCATTGGGAAGTTAGTAATTAGCAGGGAAATTTTAATACAAATTTGCCCAGGGGCTCAACACTTCAAGGGTTAAATGTCAAGTCTAATTGTAAAAACCGTAGGACAGGAAAGAAGCAGATACAGAGACATTTTATAGATTTTTATATTAATGTTAGTGTACTATAGAAAAGGGATATTGAATATTAGTTGACATGCATAGTTCAATATTTTTACAGTAGCAAGAAACGCTGTTTTTTGTTAATGCCTTTGAAACAAATTTAGTAATTTTTTTCACTCATTTTTTTTTTTTTTCATTGTCATAGCAATCCTTCACTTTTATTCAGATATTTGTAAAATTGATTTTAATTAAAAAATATATTATCACTTGAGCAATTTTAGTGAAATGGCTCTGAATGTTAACATGCAGGATGCTCATTATAGTCTATATCAGTGGTTACCAACTAGCGGCCCGCTGGGGCCACATCCGGCCCATGAACCCTTTTTCGTGGTCCACAAACTCAGATATATTAGTTGAAATTTTTTTGCAGACAGTTTTCGTAAGAAATCTACATGGGTTTAAAATACTTTTCTTTCGTTGAAAAAAATAATCAATAAAGCTTAAATGTTTTATAATATATAAAATTAATAAAGCTTAAATGTTTTATAAGGTGATCTGTTTGCTTGGAATTCCATGAAAAAATAATCTGAGGAAACTATAGAAAAACTACTAATCCAAAAGATATTTTTATTTGCAGTGCTCAAACCTTTTCCTAAGCTTTTAGCAAATTCATAATAAAGGTGTTTAGTGATTCTCATTTTTTTTTTCTGAAATTGTTTTACTTTGTCATAGAATAAAAAGTTTAGAACAGTGCAAAATTACATTTTAATGAACTTTTCTTCGCTAATGTCCGCTAAGTCTCTATAAGTACTAAATTGTCAAGACTATACAACTTTAAAATCCGCTTATTTCACACCATTTTAGAGATAGGGTAGGAACCTTAATTTTCACCAAGTCATACTGTAAGTAATGTCAACTTGCTGCACATACACTTTACTAAAACTCAACAATATTTTTTGACTAAACTGGCAACTATGTAAAAGTAAAGAGGGTGGAAACAGATTTCAGTGGGCACTGTACGTACACATTTCTACACATGCTACCTATTATACAGTGTTCTCCTTAAGAATTTTTAGAAAGGCAGCCCACCCTGCTCTTTCTAAAAGTAAGCCACCATCCCTTGAAAACACTGCCTATAGTCTTTTTTATTCATATTCCGATTTTTTAAAAAATAATTAATTGCTTAAATAATAATTACATACTGGTAAAATTATCTGTGTTTATAGGTTTAATTGTGATTACTTATAAATATTTACTTAGTAGAATAATTCTCAACTAGTTAAACTTTTATAAGTTTCTCTTTTTTGGGAGGAGAGGGGTTATATTAAAGAATTTTTTAAGTGATTTTAAATTTTAAAACTATCTTTAAATAAATACCTTTTCTTTAAAAATGCACCTTTAAATGTTCATTTTCCCATAATTTTCAGTTTAAATTATAGAGGGGGAAAAAAAGCTTTTTTTTTCTGTCAGGAAGCACCCCGCTCTTTTTTATTCTTAGGAAGAACTCAGTATTATATCCTATATTGGTCAGAATTTTAAACTAAAGCAATATGTAACAATTTCATAAAGTTGATCATTCATCATTATCATCTTTACTTAAAGTATAGTCTCTCCATCTAAAGAACTCCACCGTCAGTTGTCTCGAGCACTGTCCATGACCAGAGGTTGAGAGGTTTTTAAGTAAAGGTGTGGAGCAAACATTTAGGACAAGTTTTCACAGGGGAGAAGTATCCCCTTTCTAAAATTTGCTTTTCTTGTTTTCTTAGCAGATGAGTCCAGATACCATGGTGGGAGGAGTTTTTTTCAGATAGATGGACTATAGCTTGTATGGAAGAATCATATTTATTATTCTTCAACTATCTACATTAAATTGTTGCACTTGTTCTACAGGCATTTTTCAAGATTAAAAAATAAGCTAACAATTCTTACTAGTTAAATTATTATTAAAGTTATCAAAACAAAAACACATATGAATTGAGAGAATGCCACCTTTGAAAATTTGTTCAACACAAAATTCTTCACAGTAACATTATGCAGGATTAATTAAAATTTCAAAATTATATTAATAAATACAACTAAGTCTACACATAAAATATTTATTATACTAAAAAATTAAATTCAAATGTATTATAGCTCTTAAAATACATACAGGAGGCTAATCTTATTCAATTTAAAGTAAATAATACAGGTAAAATATAATTTTAAAAATAATTCACAAAAGTTTATTTTAAAAATCATGTGACTATGAAGAAAAATATGTCATTTCAAAATCAAAATTGATAAAAAATTAAGAGCTGTGAAACGAGGTTCAAAAAAATTTGATAATTATAAAAATTATGAAACATAAAATCACATAAGATTTTTAAATTGCATATTAAACTATTGATCATAGTATATGTTTTACAAACTCAAATAATATGAATTGTAAAACATTTATAAGAGTCATAAATTAATAGACATAAATTAATTATTTTATTTAAATAAATTTATTTTATGATTTAACAAATGGACAGTTATAGAATTCTAGCATTTACAGTAGTAAAGAAATTTTAAAAAAATAATTAAGACCTTAATTGAAAGAAAGAAAAACAATTCTAATTATAATTGATCAATTTAATATAATTAAGAAGATGTGGCTGTATCATTGTAGCTATTGTAGTAGTACCAAAATAAGGAAGATTTCTGTATTATGATCTATGACAAAATAATTACGAAGTTCTAGAAACTTCCGCAAAGTGGTCAGAGCAAAATTAAAAAGAAGAAAAAGAAGCATCCCAGATGAGGATCGATTGAAAGGATGAAACATATCATAGTTTTGAATCATACCCACCCCCAGAGTTTTGCTCAATGGCAGATGTAATTAGCACGACAGACAACAATACAGATATATAACTTCAAAATAAAAACTCAAGTTAAAAAATAAATAGATTAATAAAAAGAGTAAATATATATCAATGATCTATTGATACAACAACTTTCATTTACCAGTTTATTTATATATAAAAAAGACACTTAATTTAAAATTAATAGTATAAAAGTTCGTTCATAATAAGATACATAATCATTAGAAACAATTGTATTTTTATAAAAAATTTTACATCATACTTTTTCTTTTCAGCATACTCAATTGAAGAAAGTGACTTCGATAATGAAGGAGGTTTGGTGTTTTCAACATATTTGGATTGCTTATTTGTCCATCTTGTAAACACTAGAAGGAAAAAAAATTTGTTTAATAGAAGAAAAAAAAATTTGTTGAAATTCAAATTAGAGCATAAACTTTTTATCAAATTTTAGAATAGTATATAAATTGATTTAGTAGGAAAACAGTAGCGAGTAGCATTGTTGGAAATAATATAAAATTAGTTTATCAATGCAAAATATCATTAATTAGACTTACAAGCCACAATTATTTACTTGAAATTGAATTAGAAAAATCATTCAAATTTATAAAAATGGAAGGTCAGATAGAGTTTAATAAATTTTAATGACGGCTTAATTTCAATGCGCATTATGTTTTCGAAGTTAGTGTTCTAAGTCACAACTCAAATAAAATAACGGTAACGTTGAGGGCTGCAATAAAATGTAATACGTGTATATAACAATGCTTTTCGTGCCAGATCCAACGAATAAGTGTTTTGTTGCACTTTTGAGCAATAAATTTTTATGATGAACATGCATGAACTTGCCCCGATTTGTCTACTAACTCTCTTATGAAAATATACTAAAAACGTAAAACTACTGTTCTCAAAAGAGGAACTTACATATGTTTCTACTAATTTTCCACATTTTTATTTAATCATTAATTTACAATTATTTTTCGATGATTTCTTGGAATAGTTTATTTATTCATTGCTTTTGTTTATTTATTAATTATAACGTTTCTTGCTACTTAGTTCTGTTTGATTGATATTTAAATTATGCTTCCGTTTACTGTTTTTGCAACTTTAAAACTCAGCATTTTGTAGAAAACAGGAATCTGCAAAAAAGAAATTAATAATATTTTGTCTTTTGGCAACACTGAAAACAGTATTCGGAGCCACAACACTTGAATGTGCCCTCTAGCGGGGTGAGCATTTTCAGGCTATTATTTATAAAATTTTCATTTAGTTCTACAATGGTATAAAATTTTAAGAGAAATCGCTAACTTGGTCGATTATCTCTAGAACTACTAGACCGATTTTAATGAAATATAACATGTACCTGCATTGATACAATAAAAAAAACCAAATAACCATTCAACAATTGTAATACACACGCATGACACTCGTTGGAATCAGAAGATATGAAACAGCGGTTGCAAAATAAACAGAAAAATGGGTTAATAGGGTGCATGGTACCCTCTTACAGATTTAAATGTCTTGCTTCATGATTTCATACTTGAAATAAACCAGTTTATCATTTCCTGTGGCAATTGGTCCACTCATTCAGCAACGCTGTTTTCATTCCCTGGATAGTTCTCGGAAAGGAGTAGCGAGCTGCAATTACTCTCCGTAGAGCATCCCAGACATGCTCCATAGGGTTGAGGTCTGGATATCAGGCTGGCCTATCCATCCTGTGAATATCTTCATTCTCTAGAAATTTGTCGACCAGAAAAGCTCCTTTACGGCCTCACGTTATTGTCCATTAAAATAAGCTCAGGACCAGCTGTACCTCTGAAAAATTAAACCTAGGGCTCCAAGACCTCATCCTTATCACAGAGCCTCTTTCAAAGACATGGAGAGATGTGCGGCCATCCGACATGATTCCTGCCCAGACCATTAAGCCTGCTCCACCATAATGCTCGATTTCGCTGACATTGGAGAGAAGGTAGCGAGTCTCTGGTTCTTTCTATATGACCGTACGGCGAGAATCGGGGTTGAGGCTGAACCGGGACTCATCAGTGAAGAGAACGGTCACCCATTGATCCATACTCCAATCTCTATGCTCTCTGTACCTTGCTGAACGGATTCTCATGTTCGTAGAAGTGAGCGGGATGCAAACAGCTGGTCTTCTTGCAAACAACCCTCTCTCATGAAATCGTTTGGAAGCAGCTACCCTTGATACATGGGTTCCTGTGGCTGCCTACTAGTCACGAAAGAGCTGATGAGCTGTATCCCCTTTTATACATCTCACTATTATGGACAAATGGCGATCTTCTCTGCCAGTCGTGCCTCTTGGGCGACCTCTCCCATGCTTTCTCTCGATGGATTCTGTATCCTGGAATTGTTTCCATAAGTTACACACTACTCTGGGCGCTAAATTGAACTCTCTACAAATCTGAACCTGAGATTCGCCTGCTTCTTTCTCCCCGCAGTTTACCAGCTCATTCCAACATCTAAACGTTGGTGGCTACTCATTTTCACTGTTACAATTTGAATTTAACCTACTGCTGCAAAATAACACCGAAGAATTCGTCGAGGTGAGGCGTGCTAACGAATGAAATGCGTTTTAACTTAAGCTCACTAATAGCCTTTCATTTTAGCTCTAAGTGGTTAGTAATAAAACATGCAAAACCTTTTCTAAATATTTTACCAATTGCAGCAAAATTTAAATTAAATAACAGCATAAATTGTTCATCTGATATTATGAGAATATTTATCAAACTTTTGTCTCATCATTGTATTTAATTTATTATGATTTGAGATGAACGCTCACTAATAAAGTCTATTTCTCTACTGACTCCACCTGCACGCATACGTATTTGATGTACAAGATTTGCATTTTTCTAAGCACTGATTTTACAATCAGTTCCGTTCTTTTCATGAAATTCGATAAAATATGCAAATTCTCTTAATTTATTTCTCCAGTGTATTAGAATCATTGGTAGAGTACGACGCTTTTTTTTAGCAGCAAACTTTTCCTAAGGAAAAAACAAAAGAACCTGAAAAAATGATCCAGAACATTGAGAAATCATTCTAAAACTGAGCGCGCCTAACATTTGAGGAACCCCCTTTCTATTATCAACAAACTTGCAATCAATAACTTTCGATTTTGTGATCGCATAGTGTTACGGATGTTAGCTTTACGATATAATAATTTATTTTCTTTTTTTGCCTTCAATTCATTTTAAAATTGAATGAAGTAATTTAAGTCCACATTGCTTACTTCATTCCAATGAATAAATGTGATTTCAGAACTGTAATAGTTATAGAATATTCCTCTTCTTTATAGAATAGTATATATTTCTGTATCTATATAATGTGGAAAACAGCAATGTATTGCTTCATGAAGAATCATCCGAATTACTTGAAATAGTATTATTTGTGTTGATTATTATTAATAAATTTTATCGTTTTCTTGTTAAGTATTTTTTAATTTTGAATGATTAATTTCAACTAGAATTCAGCTATTCTGTTTTTAAGTTACATATTGAAATTCATATCGAGATCTTACAATTATAAAATTTTATTGTGTGGTTTGTCATCTTAAATTAATGAAGGGAGGATCTATGTATATATTATTTGAGAATAAAATTTTCAAATGAAGAATATTTTATTTTGGAATTCTCCAGATTTATAAAGCTGGCAAGTGCTATGATTTTTACGAAAAAAATTTACTTGCAAGTAATATTTTTTCTAATTTGATAATCGTGATTCATTAAATCACTAATTTGATGATCACGAACGCAACGACCTACAGGGGGCGTTGTTATTTGAGATGAATTCCTGCTAGCAGAACTGGATCATCAGCAGCACTGGATATTTCATCAGTGTAGCATGGTAATATTCCTTTTTTATTGTGGCCTATTAAATTTAAAAAAGAAAAATGTATGATATTCTTTCGTTTGCAAAAGAAAACAAAATGGAATATCTTTTTTTTTTTTTAAAGACGGAACATCCAAAACACATCAGGAAATATTTGTGAGAAATCTTGTAATTAGAGTTAAAACTAAGAATCCAGAGTGAAAGGTCTATTTAAATTTTACATTCCATGCTTTACTGTATCATATTACTTCGAACATTATTTCAATCATGCAAAAAATTTACAGAAGCTCATAATGTTATACGTTTTTTGATAACAATTTTTATCAAAAAAAATTTTAAGTTTCAATAAAAAATCATTATTTATAAACTAAAAAACGTAAAATAAAGAATGATTACGAGGGAAAAAAACGATTCTAAAAATTCCTCATATTGAAATAAAGAACGTTCATATTGCTTCTTTTTTCTAGTTTTAACGTTCTTAATCAGATGTAGAAAACCATTCTGTAGAGAACTATCATCAAATTAGATTAAAAAAAATATTTACAAGTAAATTTTTTATTATAAAAATCGTAACACTTAATTGCTTTATAAATCAGGAGAATTCCAAATGAAAAATTCTTCGTTTGAAAATTTTATTTTCAAATAATGCAAACATGGGTTATCCCTTTATTACTTTTAGAAGACTTACCACACAACAAAATTTTATAAATGTAAGATTTCGATATGAATTTCAATATGTAACTTAAAAACAGAATTGCTGAATTCTAGTTGAAATTATTCATTCAAAAATTAAAAAATACTTACCAAGAAAACGATAAAAAATTATTAATAATCAATACAAATGATACTATTTCAAGTAATTCGGATGACTATTGTTGTTTTCCGAATTATATAGATTCAGAAATATATACTATCCCATAAAAAAGAAGAATATTCTATAACTATTACAGTTCTGAAATCACATTTATTCATTGTGATGAAGTAAGCAATGTTGACTTCACTTTAGTTTGTAATGAATTGAAGCAAAAATAACAATAATAATATTTTACCGTAATGCACACATCTGTAACAGTATGAAATACAGTATTCACGAAATCGGAAGTTATTGGTTGCAAGTTTGTAGATAATAGAAAGGTAAAAATTATTGAGACATTGTTCTTCAAATGTTAGGAGTGTTCTGTTTCAGAAAGATTTACCAATATTCTGGGTTGTTTTTTTTCAAGTTCTTCTGCTTTTTCCTTAGCGAAATTTTGCTTCTTATTTGCTGCTAAAAAAATGGCGTCCTACTTTGCCAATATTTCTGATAGAACTAAATGAAAACTTAATAAATAAAAGTCTGAAAATATACTACCCGCTAGGATCGTGAATCGTTCCCTAAAAAAAGAAATTTTCTTATTTTAATAAGAGGAAATTCTCAAATAGTTTATTATTATTATCTTTCTTTTTATTATAAGCATTCTTCATTTTACGTTTTCTTTTTGTTTATAAATAATGATTTTTTATTGAAACTTTTATTTCCATAAAAATTATTGTCAAAAAACTGTTTTATTGCAAAACTAAATGATATAACATTGCGTTTCTGTATACTTTTTGTATATTTTAATGTTTGAAGCAATATAATTCAAAAAAGTATGGAATGTAAAGTTTAAGTAGGCCTTTCATGGTAGACCATTTAATTTAGCAGAGCTGTTCCGTAAGGCATTAGGTTTTAACTGTAATAAGAAGATAAGATACATATTTTTTTTTGTTTAATTACAAATATTTTTCCAATATGTTTTGTATGTTTCTTCTCTGAAAATATATATAGATATAATATATATTATAGTATATATATATATA